AAATCTCCAGTGAGGAGGAAATCATCACTTCCTGGGGCAGCTTATTCCACATTTAGACAGCTCTTATTGTTAAGAATCTTGGGGGTTTTTTTGTTTGTTTGTTTGTATGTTTTGTTTTGTTTTGTTTTTAACACTGGTGCCAAAATTTGCCTCTTTGAAGCATCCATCCATTGCTCTTAGATCTGCCCTTTGTAGCTAAACAGCAAGTCTTAACCTTCTTGTACATAAAAGCCCTTCAAATATTTGAAGATGGCTGTCACATGCACCTTTGTCTTCTGTTCTCTAGGTTAACTATGCCCATTTCCTGCCTCCTCCTTACATGGACTCACCATTCTGTTTGCCCTACTCTGGACGTTTGCCCTCTTATCAGTGTTCTTCCTAAACTGCCCATATCTGAATGTAACCATCTACAGGTGGTCTGATCACAGAAGAGCACAACAGGACAGTCATCCCCCTTTTTCGGGAAGTTATGCCTATCTTAAGGGACATAGATTAACTCTTTTTCTCCTGATTCCTTTGAAATCTGTTCTCCCAGATTGCATTGTGGATGTCATTCTATGGCTAGCTTTTTACCCCTCTATCAAAACTCTCAAGAGGGAGTGGTCAGTTCCCTCCAAGGTAGATACTATTTCCTCTCTAGCTACCAGCAGTCCTATTAGTGAGATTTAGCTCTATAAGAAAATTTATCTTTGTTGATACTTCTGCCTTTTGAAAGGTCAAGTTATTTTTAAGACAATTAAAGGAATTATTAACTATTCTGCTCTTGACAAAGAGAGTTCCAAAAGATGTTCACATGTAGACAGTTCTTGCTTTATGTAAGTGGACCATTCTGTAAACCTCTACATAAAGCTATTTTTACATAATGTGAATTTGTCCCTACCCACCCACTTTGCCTATATAACAAAGACATACATAAAATAATACCTTTACACAAGTCATAAAAGGTATTAAAATGCACACATTAAATACTGAACTATGATAATAAATAGAATTATGAAATGAAAGATAAAGTTAATGATGAAGTAGGCACAATACCATATAGCGAAGTTAACAGAGGTGTGCAGTGTGTTGCCCCTTCCCCACCTACTGCACCTAGCCTTTGTTGCTGGTAATTGACTGTACAACATTTTTAACGGACTATTGAGAGATATTTGGATAATGGCTCTTTTTTTCTCTCTCATATATCTGATGATAGTGAGTAATATTATCCTCAACTAGTCTTTGAACTTTTAAAAATCTTGAAGAATTTGGATCCATCTTTTCAATATAAGAAAAAAATTCACTCAAGTGATGAAATGCTTCTGGCAGCTGTTTCCTTGTGAACCTTTTTGGTTCAGCCTAGGTTCCAAAGCTTTCCTTTCTTCTTTTGCAATCTTTGCATTTACCAGCTCAGTCAGATAATCCTTTGACAGTTCTCCCTGAGACTCAATCAACTCCTCCACATCATTCTCAGTCACGTCTAGCTTCAATTCTTGTGCTAATTTTACAGTCTTGTTACTCACTTCTTGGAACATATAGTCTTTGTCAAATTTTTTGGAATGCAGATTTCTTTCAGAATTCTTTACATAAAGTCGAATTTGAGTAATACAAATTTATGTAAAGCAAGAACTGTCTATATTGAAGTATGCCATCTCTATTACATCATGCTTCTTGTTTATTGTGATCTGTTTCCTAAATCTTCATCTGTTTTTCTTTTCTCATCAGGTGACCTGTGGCATTCTTCCCTGGCAAAATTACCTCCTATTCTGCTTCCATTGATCTTTGCCTAAGTGTTATCACCATGCACCTCCCTCTGACTTTCTAGACTTCCACACATGAGCCTGTCTTCTCAACAAATAATGCTGTCTCAGTCATCCCCCTATTTTATTTTAGCTGTTCATTTTGAATAAGATAGAGCCACATTCCAGTCATAGGTATCATTCCACCATGTCTCAGGATATACCAGAGGTTGAATTTGTCTCTTTACATTAGCTGTCTTTGGATCTCTTTGCTCTTCTTTGTATATTACCTCAGTTGTAATTTCATCCATTCCCATGGCTTTAGTTAGCACTTCCGTAAAAATGACTCCCAAATCAGTATCCTAACCTTGATACCTCCCAAAAATGACAGCATCATATTTACACACACACACACACACACACACACACACTCACTCACTCACTCACTCTTTCTCTCTCTCTCTGTCTCTGTCTGTCTGTCTCTCTGAATGTGCTGCCAGCTCTTCAAATTCATGTCTAAACTAAAACTATCACCTTCCTTTCTAAACCCATCCAACCTTCTAACTGTCCTTTTAATAATCAATGCTAAAAATCCTAGTCAATTTTGACTCTTACCTCTCATTTACATTCAAAATCTAATCAGCTCCCAAGTCCTGTTAAATCTATTTACACAATATCTCTTATTAATTCTCCTTTCTTCCTGTACTAGCTCAAGCCCTCATTATTCCTCCTTTTGACTATGAGAATAACTGCCTAACTATTCTCCTTGTTTTCCATTTTCTCCCTTTTCCCGTTTGTCCTTTATACTATTACCCTGGAAATTTTCCTGATATGTAGGTCAGACCACATCATACCTCTGCTCAAAATTCTCAATGGCTCCTCACTTCTTACTAACTAAAATAAAGGCTCTTTAGTTGGACATTCAAAGCCATCCACAATCTGGCTCCAACTTAAAGCTCCAGCTTTATCATGTATTCTTGATGCACACTGAAGTCTAGCCAAGCTAGAAAATTCACCGATCCCTGATCTTTTCTTGCCCTTTGTCTCCTCTTTGGCTTTGTATATATTGCCTTCCATGTTCGGAATGGTAGCTCTCTTTATCTCTACTTGTTGAAATCTCTCCCTTACTTAAAGATCTCTAGCATGTTCCATGAAGCCTTCCCTCATCTTCCTACCTGTAAATGATCTCTTCTCAAATCTCAGCCACTCAATTTTAAGATTCCAGTGTAACATTATAACTTAGAATATATTTATGTGTGTGTTTGTCTTATCCCTCTTTTAAAATGAAGGTTCTTTAAAAGCAAGACTGTTTCATATTTGCAGCCCCTAGTAATTACCTGACTCAAGTACATTACACATTAAAGTGCTTAATATGTTTGTTGAAATGATTCAGATTCAGGACAAGGAATTAGGAGATGAGAGTTTTCTAGAAGAGGCTCTATCACCAACTTTGTGAGTGCCTTAGTCAAATTCTCAAGCTTTTTAAAAGGCCATAGTTGATAAGTATGCAAAAGGAGAGAATAGTATTTTACCTGCTCAGAGGCAGTGTGCTAGTCCCAGGGCCAGGAAAATCTTGGCTCAATTCCTGTCTCAGACACATGTTGGTTGTGTGACTCTGGACAAGTCAATTATCCTCTAATTGGTCTTGGCAAGTCTCTCATACTTTAAGTTGTAGAGAAGCCTTACATTTCTAGGTGAAGTTTCCTTACATAGAAGTTCCCTTTATCAGTGAAATCACTGGTCCAGTCCCTAACCTTAAGAGCCCCAATTTGATTTAGTATGAGAAACTAACCAAATTTGTTAAGAATTTCAAACTCTCAGTAGAGATAAAAGTTTGAAAAGAAAAGAGTAGCAGGTTGGGGGGACATTGGTGGGGAAAAAAGGAATGACTAATAGGATTTCCAAACCTTTTAAAATACTAAATGACTAATTAAATTTAGCACAGTGAACTTTCTTGCTAAACATCTTGCAGTAGCATCATCTCACAGGAGAGTTGGAAAAGCAAAAGACTAAATTCAATCATCACAAAATGATTACACCCCGGATCTCAACCGCCTTCCTAGGCTAGTCATTACACCCTCCTCCATTACTGGGCAAGCATACAGAAGTGTCACAAGTTCCTCATTACCTTGAGAGTGGCAACGTAGAGGAGAACATAGAGTAGCCTGGAGTCAATAAGACTGGGGTTCAGAACCTGTGTCTGACTTGGATTGTTTTTCCATCTGTTAAAAAAAAAAAGAATACCTGTACTAGATAGTGTGGCAATTATAAGATGCTACATGTGAAGTGCTTTGAAAACTCTAGTCAATCAATGAACATTTTTTAATGCCTTCTATGTCCCAGGCATTACGCTATGTGCTGGGGATATAAAAAGGAAAAAGCTGGTCCTTCCTCTCAAAGAGCCTACAATCTAATGGGAAAGACAATACACAAAAGAAAGCTGAAAAGAGGGTAAGGGAGAAGCAAACAGAGGGTTATGGAGCATGAGAGCATGAAGAAGTACAGTCCAAATGAGTGCAGTCATGTAGAAAATGAAGAGATGGCTGGCCTCGGAGCTCCTCTTTAAATGGAGGCTGTGAGAGAAGCTCTTTGCTCTTCCCTCCAGGCCTCTAATCAGAGGAGCATAGGATACCTAGAATACTGATGAGGTGTGAGTTCCAGGGTTGATGCAGTCTCACAGGATGATGAGTGAGTTTCCTGATGAGGAGGATCCTGGGGGCATAATGGAATTCAGTCCAAAGGAGTTCAGCCAGGTGGAAAACGAATAAAACACAATATCATTGTCTGTTATTATTATTATCATTATCATTATTTTATTATTCATTATCATTATATTATCTAATAGGCTCATGAATTACCAGAGGCCCTATGATTCGGCCTGTCACACAGGAACAGTCATTGTCAAGTTTTATCTTAGGGATTTTTTTTTTTTAATGTGTCTGGGATCAGCAACAAGTATTTCCAAAATCCACCAGTTTTTATTATTTTAATTTTGGTGTTTCTGGATCTGTTACCAGAGCTTCAGGAAAAGTTCCAGTTGATCATTTATTTCTTAACCAAAAGAAGAAACCCATCAATTACCTAGCATATATAATAGTCCCTGAGACCTTCAAGCTTTATGCTTTGCGAACTTAAATTATATCACGTTTCAGAGCTGCATAACTGCAAACTGATCTGCCCTAAAAAGTGTCCCCTTCTCAGTCTTCCTTCCCTCTGGTGTTACTGTAAATAATTGTCTTTTATTAGTCTAACTAGAGATGTTTGATTTACTTACCCTCATAGGCAACATCAGGAGAAGATGTACGAGACTTCACAAAGGTGTTAAGGAATAAGTTCAGGTCGAAGAAGCATTTTGCTAAACCCCAGCTTGGCTATTTGCCTGTGCAGACAGTTCTTGAAGGTGCCAACTTAGAAACGTAAGTTTCCATTTTTTTCTAGAACCTTGACTTAAATTTGTATTTAGTATTTTTGTTTACAGTAGGGATACAAAAATAAAATAAGTACAAAGAACTTTAATGAGAAATATATTTCCAGTAAAACTTATAAAATCATTATTTGTAGAAAGATTTTTTTAAACCATTTGCTTTTGGAAATAACAGCACAAAATTTAGGTTTAGTGTGGTATATTTGCCTCAGACTCATAAAATTTATGTTTATTTTTCCATCTTTTCCCGGCTGGTCTTCTGTTTTTCCAGTTACAAGTGAATTTTGACTTTAAATCGCTGTCCATTCTTTTCATATGTTTTTCCATTTATGTTGATAATTTATAGCTCCTGTTGCATGTTTTGCATCTTATTAACTACGTACCTTTTATGATCTCAGCCTTAAAACTTACTAAAGGTCACAAAATTCCAGTTATCTCTAAAATTTTTGGTCTTCTTGAGTCTATAACCACTTAAAGAATAAAGGAGTGGAACATTATATGAGAATAGACTAACAGACAAAATTAACCCTTTTTCCAAAAATTATAATTGGGAACCAGAAAGAAATAATTTTCAAAATAGTAAAATGAATTTTGGATTATATAACCTAAAGTAAAGAAATACTGCTTCAAGTTAACATCATCCTAAAAGACAAACCTCTTTACAAAATAAAAGTGCAAAAGATAACTTGGAAAATAAGTGACCACAGTTTGAATTTAGAAAATTACTCAGAAGAAATACCTACGATTAAAGTATGTTCCCAAAAACGTGTGTGTGTGTGTGTGTGTGTGTGTGTGTAATTTCATTGTAGAACTAAAGGGAATAACTAACTCATCCTATAGAGAATAGAATGAATAACTCTTAGACAAACATCAAGTCTAAGAGTACAGATCTTGACGTACAGAGGCACCTATACCTCTGCTTTGAATATTTGGAAACAGTTCTAGTGGGAGAATGAAGAGTCTGTCAAATGACTGTGGCAAAGCATTTCTACAATTTTGCTGTTTCATTTAAAATGAATGAAAGGATCTCTTTTCTGTCGTTTCCCATGGAAAAAAGCGATAGTAAGAAATAATTGGAATGGCTTGAACGTGAAGTCAAGTTCTTGGCTTTCAAAAACTTACAGCTAAGTAAATCATCTAGTACAAGTGCTCGATTCCAGTATACCTTATGGATAATTTCTCAGCAATGTTGAAATCAGTTTGGAAAGTCACTGGGCCTACAACCAGGATGCATCACATGAAAAAAAAATGGGGCCAAGTGTTCTATCATTTCGCTTCAAGTAGAATCATAGAATGCTTTTGTTTGATTTATTTTCATGAGATGCATGCAGGCTGTAGACATAGTGATTTTCTAAATAATGAATTTATTTCACTTTAGGTAAATAACAGGAAATTAAACAAAAAGGATCCACTATCAATAGAAAGAGTATTTGGGCTTGAAGTCAGGAGAGGAAAAGAAGGAAACAAGCATTTATTAAGCACCTACTGTGTGCCAGGCACTTTTCTAAATGCTTTTATGTTATCCCATTTGATCCTCGCAACAGGCCTGTGAGGTAGATACTGTTAGTTCTTTTTCGCAATTTTTCTGATGGAGAAAAAGGTTAAGTGACTTACTCAGGGTCACACAGTAAGTATCTGAGGCCAGATTTGAATTTTGGTTTTCCTGACTCCAGGCCCAGCTTTCTATTTGCTGTACCATCTAGCTGCCTCAGGAGGAGATGAAGTTAAAGCCAGCCTTTTGACACTTGGCTGTATGAAGTCACTCTGAGATCATTTAAACTTTCTCATACTCAGCTTCCTCATCTGTAAAAGAGGGACAATAATGTTTGTAGTACCTACCTCATAGGGTTATTATGAGGGTCAAATGAGAGATGTTGTATCTAAAGCACTTTGCAAGCCCTTGAAATACTATCTCAATCTCAGTTATTATTATTTTATTTGCCTTTCTCACTAGCTATAGAACTACTTACACGATGTAAAGTATCTCTTTGTTTTAAAACATATAAATATTTGTATATTTACTAATAGCAATACTTAAAAATAGTCCTTGTTGCCTTGTCTTTAATAAGCCGATTTCAGTGAATTAAGAGTTTGCCTACAACTAAAAGTTACTCAAGGAAATTACTTTTTTTAAAAATCGCAAGTAAAAGAAGGTTATTGCTACACCCTATTTTTTCTTGTTATCCTTTACATTTTAGACATCTGTATATGTCTGCCTCTCACATCTATATATGATGTCACTTGTTTGCTTTACTGTCTGATGCATCATTCTCCCTCTGTGATGTGTAAGTGACTTTTCCTCAGTTAATATCATAATTCATTTGTCTTTTTAAATAATAGAGCACTGAATTGAGAGAGGATCTTGCTCAGAAACAGCTCTTTTTTTTTTTTTTTTTTTTACTTCCTAGAGGCCTTTTGAAAGCCATGAAACCAATCAGGACATTAGTTTCCTCATCTGTAAAATGAGGAGGTCAGATTGCATGACCTCTGAGGTCCCTTCTTACTCTAAACCTATGATCCCGTGAAACGTTATCCCAGAAAGCTGCCATTTAAAGGGATCATTTGATAGGTCTGAGCCAGATGCGATGTCACTTTGAAAAAGTTGTTAGCGTTTGTGCCCCCAATACCAACATTCTTCACATGATTTGTCAGGGTAGATTTGATCATTTGGGGCATTTGTTTCATCATTTGCTTTCTTGTGTCAGATTTAATGTTGTCGTTAGTTATATCATTCCTTATTAACTTGCTATCCCAGAAGTTACTGAAGAAGCGAACAGGATGGCAAAGATCATCTTTGCTGTTCTGAGTAATTTGTGTTGTGTGTTTTTTTGGGTGATGGTGAATATGCCTCATGTCATTCACACAGTGACCAGCTGACACTTATACAAGGAAAAAAAAATAGAGCTAGACTGGGTTCTGTAAAACCTAATTAGAAACAAAAGATAGAATACTAACTACAGTAAGGTAGTATATTTTAGTGCCTAGAATAAACTCATCATCCTAATATAAGCCATATTGCTAATGTTCATAAGGTCTAGCAGCTGCTTTTTTACTCTCATAGAATGAATCATCATTTATGTGGGTGGGTAGTATCTCATTTATTTTACTCTTGTCAAGGTAGAGTGGGGAGCAGCAGGGGTTTGATGAACTGGTGACTTGTTTTATAGTTATTTATACAGTAGATTAGACATTCTAATAGGCCTTATTGTGCCTTTTCCTATTTGCACTATGTGACAAGCTATCACTTAGTGGCCAGTAATTATACGTGATTATGTTGGATAGTGTAATTGGTTACTGAGATTTTTTTTTTAAAGAACAGTTGCCAAAATAAGGAAAGGGAAACCCATGCTAAGATTTATTTATTGAATTTTATAGCTGTTTAGGCGTACTTTGTCTTTCTAAATAAATGAAAATGGATAAGCAGAAGTGGTTGAAGAATGCTGTCCAGTTGTTTTCCATTTTCCCCAAAGTTAAATCAAGGGAAATTGAGCTCCAAAAGTTATACAGGGTAAACAAGAAATTTTTGTTTACTTTAGAAAGACATTTGCTGACTCCTGAGAAAGTACAATTGATTTCCCTAAATATCTTTAATAATAAACATATACTTTCTCCTCCAATCTCAGGGTGGCCAGGAGACTGTGGCATGTAATACATAAATTTCTTTGTAGACCATGATTCTTTATGGTTACTTTCATCTTAGAAAAATAATGATTTGTCTTTGTCTAGTTATAGGGGAAAAAAACAGCAGTAAGTGGAGCCAAGAAAACAATGTGCATGATGACTACAATAATGTAAAAAGGAAAGAACAACCACACACACACACACACACACACACACACATCAAGTTAGTTTTATAAAATTAAAAAGAACAAGCATGGCCTGAAAGAAGAACTATGTGAAGTGACCCGAATCCCGTGACCCCTTGGCAGATGTGGGAAGATCACTAGTGTTGTTCATGACACTTATTTTCTGAGTTTTGGGGTGTGTTAATCAAGTATACTGACTTTTTTTTCTCTTCCTTTTTTTTTTTTTGGCTTAAAACATACACTTTATTATATGAAATAGTTCACTCTGGGAATGGGAGAGGCAAGATATTGAGGAAGACTCTGGTGATGTAAAAATAAAGACATCAATAAAAACTTTTTTTTAAGAACATTGATGATGTGATTAAATTCTGATTGACCTATTCTACTGGTAGTTTAAGTTCTATATTAGAATGAAATGAAATTCTCTTCGTTAACAAACATTTATTAAGGTAAGTTCCAGAGCCTATGCTAAATGCTGGGGATACAAATAAAAGCAAAAGGAAAGTAAGTTCCTGACTTCAGCTACCTTATATACTGAGAGAGGGAGACAGAAGCCAAACAACTTTGTTCATATGAGATTTTATGCAAAGTAAATTGGAGGTAATCTTAGAGGGAAAATGCTATGATCTTATGAGACCAGGAAAGGTTGCTTGAAAGAGGATGGTGTTTCATCTGAGACTTGAACGAAGTTAGGAAAGATATAACAGTTAACAAAAAGAGATTTAATCAGCCACAGCAGAGGAAGGGTATTAAAATAACAACGATATTGTCAAGATGCTCAAGTTAATACAAAATGTGGCCATCAGTCAGAAGGGAGAAGCTTCTTGTGATTTTGTCCTCAGCTGATCAGGAATTGAAGCTGAGGGCCTTACGCCTTAGGTCTCCTCAGTCAATGTAGTCTTAAAGCTGGTTTCAGTATTTTTCAAGGAAAATAATAGCCTAGACCACATGGTGAGATACTTGAGTAGATAGATATTCTTAATACCACAACTGGCCCAGGTGTTGGGAAACAGGGGTTCTAGAAATACTGTCACTTACCAACTTGGATTTGGTTAATTACTTAACTGCCTCACTTGCCCCACCAGCAAATTGACTTAATAATAATATGTGCCCTTTCTGTCCCTTTGACAGGTATGTTCAAAAGAAGCAAATCACTTTATAATGTCAGTGGGCCTTGAAAAAAATAAAATGAGGCAGCAGTACAAAAGATAGTCATTATTATTTTAACTATCATCAATCAGCATTTATAATAATAAATCAGTAGAGTAAACTCATTTATCTTGGGTCTAAATAGATACAGAACTCAAATAAATGGAATTTTTTGTATAGCTTTTACATCACTTTAATGAAATAGAGGTAAAAGGAAACTTAAAAATCTGGCAAAGATTTATAAAAAATAAAACAATTTCCAGTGAATTGCTTTGGGTCAGTAGAGAGTCAACCCTATTTTCCATGCAGTCTGCATTATGACATGAAGAGAATCAGTGTTTATAATGAGTACCCCAAGGACTTCTAATAACCCAAAGTTTATTTTATGAATTATCGAAAAATTAAATTATTCAGAATAATTGTATTAACTGTATTTTATTATATTTGAATTCTTTGAAAATTAGTAGTTTATGTATGACTTGAAATTTTCCATTAGCGAGAACACTTCTTTGCGAGACGCTCAGGATATATGGTAACATGTTTTATTGTTTAACTTGTCCTAATGAATACATAAGCCATACTTTCTTGGAGTGTAGCTCCTGATTATACAAGAAAGATTTAACCTTGGTTTATTTTTTTTTCTTTCTTCCCCTGAACCAAATGCCAATTATATTATGATGCTTTTGACATCTTTAGCCTCTGGCCTCTTTGATTTAATTTTTTTTCCAGTGGCACTTAAAGGTTGGATGAAAATGTTTTAAAACCTTATTTCCTTTTTTTCTAATTTCCCCGAATATGTGAAGAGTTGTGAACATTTTTCCATTCAGCTGCCTATCTCTGCAATTCCTAACTCAGTGCAGGGAGTTACTTTTTGTACCAGCTGAATTAACTTCACAAGAACCAGTCAAGCAGCCTCACAAAGCCTTCTCCATTTCCATTCAGATCAAAAATACACTCTTTTAATCATAAAATCTTAAGAGAAATGCCCTAGTGCACTTGAATTTGAGACGTATTTTCTCATGCAATTTCTACTTATGGAAAGTTTATAGCAAATAAAATCACAGAGCCCCAAAGCATTATGCATAGGAAATTTTTCACAGAATGACTTGCTACCTATATACCCAAGTTTTTAATGGTTAAAAAAAAGATTGTAGACAATTGTTGTTTAACATTAAGCAGCTTATATTATGTGTCGCTTTACTGGTTTTATGAATAGAAGAGTGTCTTGAAAATATTAAGAAGATATACCAATAAACAGCATATGAAAATATCTTTTTTGAAAATAGATCCAAAGATAATTAATTTACAGTTCCTAATTTGAATTAGAAAGCCTCTATTCTTTTTAACTTCTTGCTATACAGAGCCCAACTCTACTTACATAATAGTATGAAATAATTTTCCTTTGTAGCTGAATGCGTAACAGAAATGGGAATATTAGGTGTTGGTGAAATGATTCAAAGACTTCTTTCTCTTGATTTTTTTTCAAGCCATAGAAGCTTTTGTTGAGATGTTTTAAATTTAGTTCAGCAAATAGAGTTAATTTTTTACATGTTTTATAGTTGCACTTACATGTAAAACTAGAGTTTGAATTTGGTTAAATGATATTCAACTCTAAATGATTTTCAGATATTTTGAGGCTGTGGAATCTTGTTTCTGTTTGTTGTTGTTCTTTGTTTCTGGTTTTGTTTTTTCATTATTTTATTGTGTTCTCATTACTGTCATTTCTGAGTTCTGCTCTCCTCTGCCCACCTGCCATCCCCTACAATGCTCGCATGTAGCAAAGTGGATAGATAGATAGATAGATAGATTTCTTAAGCCTTTACTATGTACAAGGCACTGTGCTCAGCACTGGAAATACAAATACAAGCAAAACAAACTAAAGCCAGCCCCTACCCTCAAAGAACTTAAATTCTAAGGAGGAGAGGCAGATGACAACATATAAAAGGGAGCTGAAAAAAGGAAAATGACAAGGTAGAAAAGAAGTCTGGAGAGTCAAGAGCTGAACCAGGTTAGGAGTGAGTGTGGCTGATGTGGGTTCTTCCTTAAATGGAGGTCCTAAGGAGGAGTGTTAAGCAAAGCAAACCTTGACACATTGATCTTGTCCAGAAAGTCACATATTTAATTCTACTACCCCTTTCCTGAGATGAATGAGATGTGTTTAATTGTGGGCCCTCTAGAATCAAGATTGGTCATTCCATTGACTTGAATGTTTGTGTTGCTGAACATTATTGACACTGTTGTGTACATTGGTTTACCTTGGTTCAGCTTACTTTGTACAAGTCTCCCCCAGTTTCTCTCAGCACTGTTTTCTTGTCTTGATATCTAAATCTCTGTCGAGGTGTTGGCCTAGAGATGAACAGAAAGATAAATATGTCAATGACTTTTAAAATGTTTTAACCACCAAAGATTCCTTAGAGATGCCTACTAAAAGATGGTTGAGTTGAGACAATTTGCAGAAATACAGGGTTTTATAGAGTGTAGTTTAGAAAAGGTAGAAATTAGAAATGAGTAGATGTTTAGTCCTATTCATATGCTGCATTAAACTTAGGCATAATCAGCCAACAAGCATTCATTAAGCCAGGCACTGTGCTAAATGCCATGGATACAGAGAAAGTCAAAAAATAGTCCCTGCTTTCAGAGAACTCACCTTCTGACAGGGAGTCAACATATAAACAACTGTGTGTTTACAAACAACAGGATAAATCTGAAATAATCAACAGAAGGAAGTTACTAGCATTAAGGGAAGATTGATAAAGGCTTCTTGCGGAAGGTGGAACTTCTGCTGACCAGGTGGCAGAGATGCATTCCAGGCATGGAGGATGGTCTTTGAAAATGCCTGTAGTAGGGAATTGGGTTGTCTTGTTCACAGAAGAGCAAGGATATACTGGTGTTATTGGATTATAGAGTCCATGGAGAGGAGTGAGGAATAAGAAACCCAGAAAGATAGGACAAGGCCAGATTCTGAAAGAATGTAAAAGCCAGAATATTTTAATATTTGATCCTGGAGGTAGTAGAGAGCCACTGGAATTTATTGAGTAGAGGGGAGATGTTGTTAGACCTGCTGTTTAGGAAGATCTTTTTTTTTTTTTTTTTTTTAACCCAGAAGAAAACACTCAGCCTCTTATTTCCAAGTCTTAATCCAACATTTCCAGTATTGTTTCCTGACCTCCAAACCATAGCCTTCAGCTTTTTAAATTTACTGTTCTGTTTTAAAAAAACAAACAAAAAAAAACCAACAGAAAAACGAACAGTAATGACCATCTCATTCCAGCATGTATTGTACAATTTTATTTTAGTTTATTTAAAAATTTCTTTCTCAGTGATAAATTGTAAGACATTTTATTTCCTTTACATAAGAACATTTTAACATGTTTCTTTCTTCTGTAGCTGTGCGCTGGCTTCTGTTTATTTTGATTTTCTTAGTTTGGGCCTGACTGAATCCAGGTGTATGGGTGGGGCACGATTAAGAAGTGTTTCTTTTATCCCCAGTTGTTTTGAATTACATTAAAGTATTTGTTCTGTGGTTTTTTCCCCCCTTTCCCCTCCTTACAGTCCTATCACACTCATCAGTATGTGGCCAGTGCAATATGAGTGAGTATATATAGACCTTATATGCAGAAGGCTAATGCTCAGATTATTTTATTAGCATGCGGTAATTACTAAACTCTTGGCAATAAATAATACTACATCCCTGGATGATAATCCTAGTGGTCTCTTTGATTGGCAAATTTATTACTTTAGTTGATCTAACATTTCTGTTAATGTAATGTGCCTATATTTGAACATGTAACATGATGTCATTTTTTTCTTTGCAGACCCTCTGAGGCCGCACAACAAGGTCAGGATGATACACATTCCCAAATAGAGCAGTGTGCCTCCAGGTAAGGGACTTTAATGAGAATGCTTCCCTGAATTTTTTTTTGTATTAATGTTATATAAATGGAATATTTTGCTCTACAGAAAATATGATTCCAAAAGAAAAAAAATATAAAAAATATTTCCCAAAACATTTTAGAAACTTAAAAAATATAATTTTGTATATATATAATTGCTTATACTCATAATATTTGTATTATGTAATTTTATTTGTATATTTGTAAAATAATGAATACATTATAGTGCAAATTGACCCACCATCTTCTCTGTTAAGTTCTTGTACTTGTACCAAGCCAATGGAATGATTTTCTCTATACGTACAAATGATCTGATTATAACTGTATAAGGTTCAGTTGAGGGAACCAGGAAGTTGTGACTTCTTAATTTCCATGAAGAAATTTGCTCCATGAGGTAGAGAATTGAGTAAATTTTATGTTTGTGCTTTGTCTAACCCTTTCATGGAAGGCATATCTGAAATAATCAACAGAAGGAAGTTGCTAGCATTAAGAGAGATTGATAAAGGCTTCTTGTGGAAGGTGGGACTTCTGCTGACCAGGTGGCAGAGATGCATTCCAGGCATGGAGGGAGGATGGTCTTTGAAAAGGTCCAGAGTAGGGAACTGGATTGTCTTGTTCACAGAATAGCGAGGAGACTGGTGTTATTGGATTATAGAGTCCATGGAGAGGAGTGAGGAATAAGAAGACCAGAAAGACAGGAAAAGGCCAGGTTCTGAAAGAATTTAAAAGCCAGGATATTTTAATATTTGATCCTGGAGGTAGTAGGGAGCCACTGGAAATTATTGAGAAGAGGGGAGATGCTGTTAGACCTGCTGTTTAGGAAGATCTTCCCTCCCCCCCCCCCCCCAGAAGCACTCAGCCTCTTATTTCCAAGTCTTAATCCAGCATTTCCAGTATTCTTCCCTGACCTCAACTCCATAGCCTTCAGCTTTCTAAATTCACTCTTCTGTTTTAAAAAACCGAAAAAGGAGCAGTGATGACCATCTCATTCCAGCATGTATTATAAAATTTTATTTCAGTTTATTTAAAAATTTCTTTCTCAGTGACAAATTGCAAGACTATTTCCTTTGAATAAGAACATTTTAATATGTTTCTTTCTTCTGTATCTATGTTCTGGCTTCCGTTTATTTTGATTTTCTTATTTTGGGCCAGACTGAATCCAGGTGTATGGGTGGGGCACTAATCGATTAAGATTCTTTTATCCCTAATTATTTTGAATTACACTAAAGTATTCCTTCTGTGGTTTTTTCCCCCCTTTCCCCTCCTTACAGTCCTATTACACTCATCAGTATGTGGCCAGAGCAATATGAGTGAGTATATATAGACCTTATATGCAGAAGGCTAATGCTCAGAATATTTTATTAGCATGCGGTAATTACTAAACTCTTGGCAATAAATAATACTACATCCCTGGATAGTAATCCTAGTGGTCTCTTTGCATGGCAAATTTATTGCTTTAATTGATCTAACATTTCTGTTGATGTAATGTGCCTATATTTGATGTAACATGATGTCTTTTTTTTTTTTCTTTGTAGATTCTCTGAGGTCTCACAAATTCAGGATGATACACATTCCCAAATAGAGCAGTGTGCCTCCAGGTAAGGGACTGTAACAAGAATGCTTCCCTGAATTTCTTTTTGTATTAATGTTATATAAATGGAACATTTTACTGTACAGAAAATATGATTCCAAAAGGAAAAGAAAATATTTCCCAAAACATTTTGGAAATTTAGAAAATATAATTTGGTGTATATATACATATACATATATAATTGTTTATACTCATATCCATATTTGTATTATCGCATAATTATATTTGTATATTTATAAAATAATGAATACATTATAGTGCAAATTGACCTACTATATTCCCTGTTAAGTTCTTGTACCAAGCCAATGGAGTAATTTTCTCTATTCGTACAAATTATCTGATTATAACTATATAAGCTTCAGTTGAGGGAGCCAGGAAGTTATGGATTCTTAATTTCCATGAAGAAAGTTGCTCCATGAAGTAGAGAATTGAGTAAATTTTACGTTTGTGCTTTGTCTGCGCCTTTGATGGAAGACATATATTACTAACCACTCCCTTCCAACATCTGCCATTCCTGTGAGTGAAAATATCAATTGAAAATCTGATCAGAACAGTTCTAGACCTTATAATAGTGGATTTCAACGTACTTATTTATAGTCCTCAGTTTCTCAACCACCATGTCCTATTCATTCATTCCACCTCAGCTACCTACATACAGGGATGGTCATACCCTTGATCTTGCTTTTGCCCATACATGTAACACTTAGAAGGAAAAGGGTTCTAAAATTCCTTTATCTAATAAAATCTCTTCTAATTCCATCTCTTCCAACACCTTATACCTCCCATTCTTTGATCTTCATCATGATTTCGAATTCTCGTGCACCTTAGTATTTCCTCAGGCCCTCACCCCTGCCCAGGCTACACTCTCTTCCCAGTCTGAACCCCTTAGTGAACTAAACCAACAGTACATTATCCTCTATTCTTGAATCCTTTACTCCCTTGTCCCATTGCCGCTTACACCATTCCAAACTCCATTGGACTGCTCTCATCATCCATCTCCTCCATTGCTACTCACCTGTTGCTGAAAAGAGTTAGAGAGAGTTACCCAACCAGGCCGACTGTACCTGTTGGAAATTTGATATCTAATCTTAACTGGGCTTTCACTTGAGCAAAGTAAATCTTTTACTCCTCCAAGATTGATAGTCTATTCCACTAACCACAAACTTTTGTCTTCAGGACCCTCCATTAGTGTTTAGGACTTTGCTTTGTAATTTACTGTGAAAATTGAAGCTGTTTGTTGTGAGCTTCCTAGTCTCCATCTTCTCCCAAATTTGCAGTCCTTTGTCATCGCCCCTGCTATCTTCCCCTTGGCTCCATTCTCTGTGGAAGAGGTGACCCTTCTGCCTAAGCCATCTGCCTGTACATTTCTACTTAATCTTATCCCTGCCTACCTTTTCTAGCAGATTGCCTTTACCATCATATTCATTCCTTCTCTCCCTCTGTCTCTCTCTTTCTCTTCCTCTTCTCCCTCCCCCCTTACTTACCTCCCTTTCCTTCTGCCCCCCTTGATCCTTCCCTCCTATCTACAAACACGCTCAAATATTCCCTCTCATTAAAAAAAAAACAAAACTCTGCACAAGATCCTCTCTTACCTGCTAGCTGCCATCCTTTTATCTCTTCTTTTCTCAGCCAAATTCCTTTAAAAATTTGTTGAAACTCAATGCCCCCCCTTCTCTTTTCACTCTTTTCTAGGTCTGGCTTTACAATCTGGCTTCTAATGATTTCTTGTTAAATCTAATGGCATTTTCTCAGTCATCACCCATTTTGTCCCCTCTGTAATATTTGACACTGCTGACCAAACATTCCTCTAGGATACTGGCTTTCTCTGGGTTTTTGTGATACTGGTCACTCTTAACTAGGTGGCACAATGTATAGAGCCCTGAGTCTGGAGTCAGAAAGACTTGAGTTCACATTTGACCTCAGATACTTATAATTGAGTGACACTGGACAAGCCACTTAACCTTTGACTGCCTCAGTTTCTTCAACTGTGAAATGGGAATAATAACAGCATCTACCTTACAAGGTCGATATGAGGATCAAATGAGATATTTGTAAAGCAATTAGCACAGTGCTTGACACATAGTAGGTATTACATAAATGCTTATTTCCTTTTCTTCCCTCTTAATCTCTCCTTCTTAGTCTCCTTTGCTTATCACTAATGGTGGATATGCCCCAAGGCACTGTTCTGGGTCTTCTTCCCTTACCTATGTACATTCATTCACTTGGTGACCATCATCTCCTAGGACTTAATTTTCATCTCTATGAAGATGACTCCCAGGTCCATATTCTAGCAGCTGGCTCTCTCCTTAGTTCTAGTCCCAAATTGCCAACTACCTTTTGGACATTTCAAACTGAATGTCCTTTAGACATCTCAAAGCTAAGCCATCCAAAACAACTCAGGATTTCATTGCTTGTTCTGAACTTCTTTATATCTACCAATGGTAGATTCCACTTCCAGGCTTCCAAGTTCATAGCCTTGACTGTATACACTGCCATTACCCCTATGTCCATCAGTTGTCCTATCTTGTTTCTGTCTCCATCACACCTCTTCCATATGTATCCTCCATGTCACTCGCACATTTTTTAACTACCCCGTGATCTCTTGCCAGATCTATTGTAATGTCCTAATTGTTCTCCCTGCCTCAAGTCTCTTTCCACTTCAGTCCATCCTCCACTCAACTTCCATAGTTATTTTTTTAAAGTGTAGGTCTGACCATGTCACCCCTCTACTCAAACTCTAGTGGTTCTCTTTTGCCTCTAGGATCAAATAGAAATTTATCTGTTTGGTATTTAAAGATTTTCACAACCTGTTGGAAATACTGCTTTTCCAGTCTTATTACTCATTACTCCCTTCCACACACTCTATGGTCTGGCTTTGGTGGCCATTAAGCCATTTTGCACACATTACACTCCATTCCTACCTCTGCCTTTGCATTGGCTGTCCCTCATGTCCAGAATTCTATTTGCTGCCCTTTGCATCTTGGAATGTCCACTAATTTTCATGACTCAAGTGCCACATTCTGCATGAGACCTTTCCCTGTTCCCCAGCTCCCTCACAATATTGCCCCATATCTGCCTCAGTTGTGTTGTGTACCTTCCTTTATATGTCTATGTTGTCTCCCCATTAGAATGTGGCTTCCTTGAGGGCATGGGCTATCACTTTCCTCTTTGTATTCCCAGTGCCTAGCATAGTACCTGGCACATGGTAGGTGCCTAATAAATGCTTCTCAATTACTTGGTGAATTATCAAATACTGAGCTAAAATCTAGGCCAATTTTATGGTATTACATTGAACCTCCATTCAAGAAACCCTGTCAGACACAAAAATGAGGTTAGTCTGGCATGACCTATTCTTGATGAAGTGACTTGGCTCTTCATTATAATCTGTAATTGAAGTCAAGCTCCGTGCTCTGTAATTTACAGACTTTACTCTCTTCCTTTTTTTTTTTAAATGGGGACATTTGCCCTCTTCCAGTCCTATAGCACCTCTCATATTTTCTATGGTCTTTTGAAAATAACTGACAATTCAGCCATTACATCTGCCAATTCTTTCCGTCCTCTGTGAAATCATAAGTCTGATCCTAATTACTTGACCTCGTTCTTATCATACCATCCAGGATGAATAGCATTCTTCTCCATTCTTTTGACCCATTATAGCTATAAATGTCCTTCTTGTCCTTAACATTCATCTCCAGCCTCAATTAAACTGGGTTTTAACACAGCTTACAGAACATTGTCCTTCTATTGCTGTGGCTTTGCTCTCAGCAGAGCCATGTATGTGGGGGGAAGGGGAGGGAGGATGCCCAGGATGGCTCAATTCACATCTTCTAAACTTCTCAAATAAAAGGATTTGAGAGCCTCACTGTAGAAATACTGCATGTCCCAGAAGTCTCTGGACTCGGGGTTTACTGCATGCTTTAAGGTAACCAGTAATGAAAATAAGGTTAAAGCTGTCGTCATCAAGAATTTCTAGGGCCTTCTTGTTTAAGTGTTGTTTTGTCCTTTCATGCCCCATTAGGGGTTTTCTTGGCAAAGATACTGGAGTGATTTGCCGTTTCCTTCTCTAGCTCATTTTACAAATGAGGCAACTGAGGCAAACAGGGTTAAGTGATTTGCATAGGGTCACACAGTTAGTAAGTATCTGAGGCCGGATTTGAACTTGGGTCTTCCTGACTGGAAGTCCAACGCTTTATCCACTGCGCCACCTAGTGACCCCCTTATTTAATTATGTCGAATAATATCCAGCATAGCATAACTGTATTGTTTTAGTTGTTATTCAAGTAACTTAGACCATTTTTCTTTTCTCCAATATGATTCCCTCATTTGATACAATTCATTCTACTCTAAGAGGTAGCACAGATGGAAGATTTAAATATCTTCAAGAAGAGTTAAATATTTGGTTGCAAGGCATCATCGTAATCTGCAGTTTTAGGGAGGGAGATCTGACATCCCAACTTACTTATCCATGTAGGTGTTGATGGAATACTAGGGTCCATAACAGGGTTCTAAAGGAAGTTGGGGGTGTCAGGTCTCCCTCCCTAAAACTGTGGATTATGATGATGCCTTCATACAAAACATTTCATGGGGCTATGACTGGATGAAAAGGCATTTATTTAGTGCTTACCAAATGCCACCTGCTGGGCTGAGTACTTGGGAAACAAAAGCAAAAAGAGAAGTAGTCCTTGCACTCAAGGTGCTTACATTCTAACAGAAATGTAAAAGATAACATGGATAGAGGAGTTGGGGCCAGGGAATGATGTGCTGGTTTGGCAAGTTGGGGGATAGTGAATTGATGTATCAGGCACACATTTGACATGCCTCTTCCAGAAGCAGTGGTCCTTTTGCTTTGATTACTGTGCCCAGAGAAAGAGGTGGGGGAGAATTGAGGAGGAGAAGAATTTGTACTTCCTCTGTCACCTGGGGCTAGGTTCCAAAAATTCCTGGGATTAGGAGTATGCATCTGTGGTAGACTGAATCTGAGGTAAGACTTGGTGTGACTATGAACTTTGTCTATGCTCAAATAGTTTGTAAACCCAGAGCTCCAGAAAGTTGTGCTGTACTAGATTTCATGGTTAATGCTAGGCTCTGAGAGGTAGAAGACCTGGGTTTTAGGCCTTACCATTAATTGCATTTCACTTAGGCAAGTCACTTGACTTCTGGGTCTCCATTTCCTAGTTGTGAAATGAAAGGGTTGCTCTGATGAGCTACAAGACCCTTTTCAGCCGTTATGATCCAGTAATTTTTCTTATGCAAAGTGATATGATATATAAGATATTTATGATTTCACCTTAAACTCAAAATCATTTGACAGAAACCTACATATTATCCATGGGCAGCTAGGTGGCTCAGTGGATCAAGAACTGGACTTGGGACCAGCTTCAGACACTTAGTAGCTGTGTGACCCTGGGCAAGTTACTTAACCCTGTTTGCCTCAGTTTCCTCATCTATAAAATGAGCTGGAGAAGAAAATGGCAAACCACTCCAGTATCCTTGCCAAGAAAACCCCAAAATGAGTTCACAAAGAGTCAGACATGACTGATATGACTCAACAACAACATATATGATCCATCTGGAAGGCTTCAAGGAAATGGGTTTGAGTTAAATCTTAACCAAAGTGTAATATTTGATTGGATTAGGTGAAGGAAGCTGGATTTTTTTTTAAATTTAAAGGAAAAATAACAAGTGAATCTTTTCATACTTATTTTCTTTCACAATAATTCTATAAGGAAATGTCAGAAAAATAACAAGTTTAGACAAACTTGATTCTCTAGTTGAGAATCCTTGATTCTCTAGTGTATAGGTTCTCAACTTAGGGTCCATGTACTTGGTTCTTCTTATATATATTTTGATAATATTTCAATATAATTGGTTTCCTTTATAATCCTATGTTTTTTATTTCATGCATTTAAAAAAACATGATTCTGGGTAGTAGTCTGCAAGCTTTACCAGATTACCAAAGGGTAACAGAAGATAGAAAAGATTAAAAACTCCTGCTCAGTTCATGATAAATTTTTTTTTAAAGTATACGTTCTATGTAGTTCACTTCATAGGACCATAGATATAAAGCTGGAAGAATCCTCAGAAACCATACATCTAATACAATGATCTAGTTCTTTTGTAGATGATAATATTAAGGATTAATAAATAAATGACTTGCCCAGTCACTGAGATAGTAAAGTGTCAGAGAAAGTATTTGAACCTAGAACCTCCAACGCCAGAACCAGTGCTCTTTCCACTGTACTAAGCAAGCTTCCTCCCTCAATTTTTGGTAAGTTATTGAATCATTACATTTCCAATCTTTAAGGGGACTTAGAAGTCACCTAGCCTAACATACCACTAAGTGCAAAAATCTCCTCTCTAGTGTCTCTGATGAGTGAGCAGCCAGTTTTGGCTTACACCCTTTCAGTGATAAGGAATTCAATATAAAGCAACCCATTCCACTTTTTGAAAATTCACATGGTAACAAAATCCATCCTTATACTATATCCAAATATACCTGTCTCTAATTCACTTACCCTAATTCTGTTCCCTGGAGCTTCACAAAGTAAAGCTAATGTTTCCAAATATTTAGACACAGCCACCATTACCTTCACCCCCCTAAAAAACAAAAAAACAAAAACAAAAACAAAACTTCTCTTCCTCAGACTGAACATCCCCAAGTCCTTTGGTCATTGTTTATCTGCTACAATTTCTTCATCCTGAACATCCTGGTCACTTACCCCCAGACACACTACAGTCCCTCAAATTCCCTGCTTTAAAATATTCTTCCCTGAACTGAAGTCATGTAAATACTTCAGATGAAGTCTGATAAAAGTACAGTCTTGTATATAGTAAGACTACAACTTAGCCTTTATTGTTAAACTACATCTTTTAGTGAAGTGTTCCTTTATCCATTCAGCTAGGATTTCGTAAATATCTACTTTGTAGATATCAGGAGGTTCTGAGTCAAGTATCAGAATAGCTACAGACATATCAGATAAGACACTGCTTTCACAGAAATTATGGTCTAGTGGTGAGAGATGATACCTATAAATAATGATAATACAGAAATATTTCATAAGTCCAGTGATTGGTGAGGCCTCAGGAGAAGGGAATGTCATTACTGATTGTGGAAACTGATGAACTTTTGTGGAAAGACATCTTGTATCTGAATTTTAAAGGTCTGGCCTGAACCTGTGCTTTTATTGGAGTAGGGAATTCCCATAGAGGAAATCCCTTCTTCCCTGGTAAATCAAAGTCTGCTTTGAAATTTAAATCTTAGAATAGTTGCCTGGGGCACTAAGAGGTTAAGAGGCTTGCCATTGCACAGCCAGAATATGTTAGATGTGAGACTTCAACCCAAGTCTTCCCTACCAGAGGTCGATTCTCTGCTGCTTCTTTTTAGGGGGAAAGAGAGGATGTAAAAGAGTGAAAAGGGGATTCTTGCCGCAGAGAACAAAGTCACAGAGGTGGAAAAGAATAGAGTCTGAATGGGAGGAAGGAGAAGGTCATAAGCATTAATTAAGCACCTCCTATATGCCAAGCACTCTGCTAAATGCTTTATAAATATTATCTCATTTGATTCTCATATTAATATAATGGATGGACCTACCTGGGAGGCAGGTGCTATCACGATCTCCATTTTACAGTTGAAGCAACTGAGGCAAACAAATCAAATGACTTTTTCAAGGTGGTTCAATTTGGCTAAATGTAAAGGAGAATAAAATATGAACTAAGACCCAGAATAGTTGGTAGGAAAAATTCCTTTTTTTTTTTTTGGCAGCTATATCACACTGTTGCTACCCTGTTGACCCGTTAAGCATACGGTCAACTTCTTACTACTCTGTTTGTTTGTTTGTTTTTTCAGTTGAATCACTGTTAGGCTTTCCCCTCCAGCATTTGTATACTTGTTGGCCCTTTAATTCTATTCACTTGTATCTTGTTGGTTTCACACCATCATTCTTTTGAGTCCTGATTCTGTTGTTCAGTGTATTGAATAGAGGTTCAGAGGTAATATTTCTTCATGTTTCCCAGAAAAATAAATCCTCTCTTTAACTTTCACAGATGTTATATTTATTCTTGACTACTAGTGGATCACTTAGGTATTTGACATCAGCCCTTTGTGGTCAAACAGTGTCTGTGCTTTTGCACACAGTCTCTAATGAATATTCAGATTATAGACCTGTAATGCACACTGAACACCTATTTGGCTAGATGCAACTCAGATTATCTCCAACTTAATTCTTGTTAAAATGTAATTCCATGGATTGTTGTCAAGTCAAACTTGACTTGAGCTCCATAACATGGTCCAGTTAAATGTCGAGAATTCCATTTTCTTTAAGTGGTAATAACTTTCAGTGTGAGTGAGTTCTGTATTAGCCAATGCAAAAGCTTTTGGTGAACATTGCTTTCTTGGTATAAAACCAATCCTGGTCCCTCTATGATCTATAATAATAATAAGGTTATCTAGTCCAACTCCCCCATTTTATAATTGAGGAAATTCAAGTCCAGACAATTGAGTGACTTGTCCAAAGTCATACTGAACTGTGAGAAACAGTAGACTTAGATCTACAGAAAGCAACACCAGTGTGTATGGGAGGCAGATGACCAAATCTGTTTATGTTTCTTGTTGTCATGCTCTCCAAATGGTGCCAAATTCAAGCCAGGATTGTCCTTTTTTACACTTTTCCTACAGGTAAAATCATTGGGAGGCTTGATTCTTTTTTAAAATATCCAGTTATAGCACCAGATCTTTAAAAAATCTTTTCACTATAAAAAATTCTTCAAAATATGGCCTAGTGACAAACTCCCATCTTTTGGGGTTTATGTGCTCCCTCTCTGCTCAGGCCCTATATCAGCCACACACTTAAGTAGGTGCCCTGAAGTACTGCCTTCTGCTGACTGACAGCTTCACACCAGCATCTTCTAGCTCATCCATTACCATCAGTAGTATCTCTTTTTGTTCTCTCTGTGTTTTTCCAAGTACAATGAGATATCCACGTACATCAATATTTGTAAGCATTTCATATCACCAGATACTTTTTGCATTTTCTTTTGAAATAGCTGGCATTCATATAGGGTTCTAAGATTTGCAGAGCACTTTACAAATTTCTTCTCAATTTATCCTCATAGCTACTCTGGCAGGTATGTGCTGTAATTATCACCATTTTACAGGTAAAAGTGTTGGATGCCCTATTAATTCCCTGGGTTATTCGCTTATACTGGCAACATCTTATTGGGAAGATGATGGCCTTCTTATTCTTCTTTTCTTCTGTCATGGGGATTTTAAAGTAGCTGCTGTGCAGTTCTAAGGTTGAAACCCATTGGCTGCTGAGCAGACAATCCAAGGCATCTTGAACTAGCTACATATTCAAAGTCAGATAATCCAAACATACCTGTATCTTCCTAGTCATCTTCCATACCCAAATCACTGGACTTTCAGGCCACAGCTATCCTGTCATCATACACATCCACATGGGTTGCCTCATCTTAGGAGGTTACTAACATTTTCCTCTAATCACACCCCAGCTCACACCTGTCATTATCTAATTCTGTTTCTTATCCTTCACAAAACTTTCCCTAGAACTTGAGTCAGCTTTTTCATATGCTTCAACTCCTGTACAACTTTCTGGGAATTTAACTCCAAAAAAGAGTAAGGAATATGTGTGTGATTACGATCCTTTAGGAAAGAGTATTAACTGACATTTACACAGAACTTCTAGGGTTAAAAAGCACTTTACATGCATTATCCCTCTTGATCCAATACAACTCTGGGAATCTGTAAGCATTTTAAAAATGTGTTACAGTCTTGCCATTTTAACAGCCGAGTATTAGAAATTTATTTTATGTGAATAACAAGTAATTTTGAAGACTTGCCTTTTATGGTGGGTAATAAGAATCACTCTAATCAGTGAATGTGTCCAAGTGAAATGAGCATAATTTTCTTAACCCTGCTTTTAATGTCCTCATTCTCACTTTTCAGACTGGCACAGTTGGAAAGGACTGTTGGTTCCATCCTCACAGAAGGCACTTCTACCATAGGAATTGCGTAAGTAAATCATGTAATTAGAGCTGCTGGGAAAGGCTATTTCATTTGATTATGGCTGTCTGAAGTAATCTTCATTGATTGTGGCTCTGAATTTTGATCCCAATCAAAGTAGATAAGTGAGGTTGCTAAAAAAACAAGTCTGCATAAATTTTATAATGGGATAAATTGCCTACGTTTATTTGTTTGAAATGCCATTTATGCTAAATAAAATACCTTACATTTATCAACATTTCTACCTAAAGAAATCAGGTTACTTCAGTTAGAATAAAAGGTAGACTCATTCCACTTGTCTACTCTTTCTCATTCGGCCCACTTAATTTAAGAAATGTCATCAAGTGATTGTACGTGCATTCCTGTAACAACTCAGACTCATATTTTCTCCAAATTTCCTGACCTTTAATAACTCATGTCCCACATAGATAGTTAACTTGAACATACTTCTTCTATACTGCAAACTTCTCTTCCCAACTAAGAACTGGAAAAGCTGCATTGTGTTAGAATGAAGGATATTTACAAAAGAAATGTAATTTTTAAAATATTTCTATTACTTTCCCTATTACTTGATTTTAGACTTTTTTGTTTTGGGGTTTTGTTGGGGGGGTCTTCATTCTTCTATCCCACCTACTCCCTAAAAAATCATCCTCATTAATTAAAACTCTTGAGCATGACAGATGCCCATAAATGATTTGAATTGCAGTTCTATAGTTTCTCTTCATTTGCTTGGAAGAACTTGCAACTTCAGTGTTCTTTGAGGTTGGAGCTTATAAAGAAGTCATAAAGCTGACAGCTATTCCTAAAATCTCTTTTACTGAAAGTGAAATGTTTGAGAGCAATATAATTTGATATATACTCTGAGCTTTGAACATAGCATTCCATCTGGTAACTGTTTAAATTTTTTAGAGTCCCAATGATATGATATTGAATGTATAGAAACTCCCCACTAACTTTTAGTCACAAGACTAATTTAAAATAATATAGCATCAATTTATGCTGTATAATCAATAAAAGATCTTTTTCTGTCTGTGAAACTATAATATAGTTCATTTTTGTTATGTTATTTGTTGCTTACCATATCCAAAACCTATCTATTCTTTTCTTTGAAAAAAAATATCTATGGTGTAAAGAAAGCCTTGAGATTTCTCTGTAGTGTACAAGGCTCTGTATTTTTTCATTACTTTATCCTGATTCATTTACCTGTATATAATCAGTCTCTACCAGCTTCTCAGAGCAAGCATCAGATTTAATAAGAAGCCAAAAGAAAGAATAAAGGTGAGAAAAAGATGTGGCACACAATTGAAACAGTTCAATCTTGAACCAATTAAAGAAATTAAAGAATATTGAAAATGAAAAATGGGAAATTCATAGCAGAAATTATATCAATCACCAGCTATAATAATTTTATATGGAAATTTAACCAATCTAAGTCAGTTGCCTTAACAAGGAGACCTAAAAAGCACCTTAGCAAACATTTTATGTTCTTGCCAGAAAAGAAAGGTGGCAGCCAATGATTTAGAACATAAACTTATCTTTCACATCTTATTAAGAAGAATGATGGACGATTATTGAACAATATCACCTTGTAAAGCAGAGAACATCCATGGAAGGTAAAACCAGTGTTTAATAAGTTTGACTAGAAAGTGAAGTCATCCTGAGAGCATTTAAGGATGCAAAGAAGATGAGAGCAACAAAGAAAAAAAACAAATGGAAGAGATTTGCAAACATTTTTATAGCAAACTGTTTTCATCATGAACGATAGTAAAGCTACCATTGAAGTCAAAGTCTCAGATGTACTTTTAGGGAAGGCAGAGATGGTGCTAAAAACGACTGGAAAAACCACCTTACTGGATCAAGTACATAGAGGAAATCCATGGGAGATGACACAATTATAAGATCATTAAAGAACTGATTCACATGGTATCTTAAGGAAAAAATGCCAAACGTATGGCAAAATTATCAGACCTCATTAATACCTGAAAGAGGTGATCAAAAAAACATCAAAAACTTCCAGCCTATTTTCCCATCTATACAAAATCTTCAAGACACTCTTCTATAGTTCATAAATCAAGGGCATACTCAATGAGAATATTAGTTAAGCAGATTTTCACAATTGACTAAAAGATGTAAAGAATTTGAGATTTCACAGTACTTGTTTGTTGGTTATGAAAAAGCATTTTATTCAACAAAGCAAAATATTCCTTAAAGTCTTTCTTCCAACAAGGTGTCTCTCAATACATAATAGAAGCATTCAACATTCCTTGAGACATGTAACAACAGAAATAATCCAACTGAACAGCCATCTGGCCATAAACATTAGCTAAGACATGACTAAAACAGGAAGATGTATGCTTACCAAAGGTACTTGTCACTGAAATGGAGTTCCAGTATAGCGTCCACTCCCAAAAAAAAGTTCCCTGTGAACAGTGAGATCTTCTAGATATACTTATTTGCATGTAACATTATGCTGGTTGCATGAAGTCTTGAAAATATCTTGCAGAAATGGCCATATCCATCTCCATGACCAATATCCGTAACAGTTCAAGAGTCAACCCTGATCACCCACAGAGGATAGACCAAGTAGATGAAGAATATTTATTTCCCTGATTGACGCGTAGGTGTAAGAACATCCTATAGAGCAGGGCTTCTTAAACTTTTTCCAGTTGTGACCCCTTTTTTGTGTTTTGGCAGCATTTGTTGGCGGGTATGCCAGCATGTGCAGTGCAAAGTGTGCATGTTTTGTGTTCAGAGCCAAGTTACACAATGCAACATGGGCAAGCACTGTGAGAAACACCTCAGATTCATTATGCATTTGATTTTTAATTAATTTTTCATCATTGCATATTCAGAAACCTTTTACTGTTGTCATATTTTTCACCAGCCCACTGTCACAGTTCACAGTTTAAGAGACACTGCAATAGAGCTTGTCCATCAGCATGTATACTTGGGACAAGGTAATGAATTCAGTCCAGAATTTAACATGGGCTGATTGCCTTCAGGAAATTACAAAACTCCTTTAATGACCACAAGCTTCTTGTAGAAATAAAAGACCACTTTTTAAATACCAATATTCTGTTGATAAGGTGTATGACTCTGAGATATGGAATACAAGTCTTCAAAGAATTGAAAATGAGTATCACATAGAGGTCAGTGGAAAGGTATTTGATGAGTATGAGCATGCTGCAACATAATATCAGTGAGAAACTTCAAAGAACAGGAGTAATAAAAGATATCATTAGAGAAATATGTGACAGGAAAAGAAGATGGGTCAATCATGTAGTGAGAGTCAGGGATGGTGAGTGGTCAGACCTAGTGCTCTTCTAGTTAGTCTTCCCCTGAGGTTGGGAGAAGGTAAGAAAGGTCTTCAGCATGTTGTGTAAACCCTATGATGGTGACCTTATAGGAAGACATGGATGAGAGTTGCTCAGAATTAGTCAATGAGTAGGTTCAAGGAAACATTTTGAATCCATAAATAAAATCCCTGATCCTTTTAAATATTTGCATGCTTATGCATTGGGATATAATGACTTCTAAGTCAATATAAACTTATAACACAAACTCTTTGGGATTTTCAAAAATACACATTAACATTAGCATCATTATGTGTCCAAAGAACTCCATATTCTCAAATATATTCCTATCCTCTGGTGGATCTCTAGCCCCATTGATGTGGGTGCTACCTTGAACAATACAAATGGGAATGTGTCTATGTTTGCCCAGTACTCATGTCTTCCTATAAATGCTGCACAGATGATCCACTTAACATCCTGAGGTTCTTCTACCCATTTTGACAGAGTGGATATTAATAAAGCATAATAATCTAGCAAGCTATATCCCTCATATCAAACATTCTGACAAATATGCACCTATTTACACTATTTTTGTTTGCTTTATTCTATAAATTACAAATGTTGCTCAAATTCAGTATTTCATGTAATAAAATTCATAAAATTACATGTATACTGTCTACAAAGAAAGGGCTTGTTGTGCAAACTTCTAAGCAAGAATTAACTGTTTTCAAATAACTTTATCAACATCCATTTATATATAATGAATGTACTAATTACAAATTCACTGTTATATTTATTGTATGACCCTGAAGATCCTCTCCTTATCAGTGCTTTCCTTAACAGTCTGGATTAGGTGTGTACTTTCAAGGAATAGTTATATCTCTTTTTTAAAATTCTCTTGACTCATTGTTTTCACTTCTTTAGATTGTCCTGCCTCTAATTTGTCTGAATTAGAGAAGTTATACTGTATAGAAATATGTGGCCATTTTTTCTTCTTTTTTAGGGTTTTAGAGCAGCAAATAATTTTTCTGCAGTATAATAGCTACAATTTTCAGGCACCATTTGATCTTAAATTCCTACCTTCATCTGCTCACTCGGGAACCAGTGGCAAAATCCTTTATCTTCCTTTTAAAAACAAAGATTTAAAAATTAATTCAGTCACTTTTATTGGCTTGACAGAGATGTGTGCAAGTATCAAAGTCAAAACAAATATATAAAGTGATTCTGTTGGAATTTCAGCTACTCACCACTGTTGCTTTTTATTTTTTTAATTTATAAGTGATATCACACTGTGCTATTAAAGTTTTGTTGGTGTTTTTTGTTTTAAACCAAGGTCATTTTCCAATCTATTACTACCCCCACTGAACCCTCCTTTTAATAAGGAAAAACAATTATCTTTGCTTTTTTTTTTTCAATGTAAAGTGATGGAAATTTGCTCAGATTCCTTCAAGAAGAATCTCTGCTCTAGTTATTCAAAGGAAGTATTGGGGGAGGGTGGATGGGGTGGTATTTGACTTTTATTTCAATGCAGAATTAAGGATTATTACTTTGTACTTTGCAGATTTTTGTCTAAGTTTAATCAGTCCTCTGTACTTCTACTGAGATGTGGTTCATCCCTTCTTGGTCTCCTTCCTTCTTGCCATCTTTTCTTTCCTCACTGGCAGTATAATGTGCTAGACCTGCCATCAAGCAAGCTGGGTTCCATGACACTGCCCAAGACATTGTGACTAGGGACAAGTTGCTTAACCTCACAAAGCCTTAATTTCTTCATCTGTAGTACTTGGAACACCCACCCTCTAAAGGACTACGTCAACATTACTACCATCATCCTCACAGTCATTCCCTCCTTCTCCCAAGTCATCATCTTACTGACCAGTTGATCCACTAAGGAACGTACAGACTTGTGGGGAGAGGATGTAGCATAGATAGCAATTGCTGCCCCTAATAAAGGTCCTTAAGCCTGTAACTGGAAATTGGAAAGAAAAATAATTTGAAATTATTAGATAAGAAAGATAAATTAAAATTATTAACTTCCAGTGTAGCTGCCAAAATAACCTTCCAAAAGCATAGATCTGACCGTGTCATTCTTCCATTCAGTAATATTCAGTAGCTCCCTATGGCTTCTAAGTAATTTTAACCTGTTAAGTAAAACCCTGCTTAATTGAGGCCTTCTGGTAGTTAATCGAACAGTATAATTTTTAAACTCAAATTAAAAATGTGAATACATGAGATTGATAGGTAGGATTATTTCTCCTTGCTTTTATTTGTGCTTTATTACTTTTAATGGGAGGTAGCTAATTAAAATCAAAATTCCCAATCCTTTTTAAAAAAAAAACCTGCAAAGATATCATTGTCTAAGTTTTGAAATAAAAATACTATTTCAAAATCAGCCTTTTCTCGATCCACCATATTTTTATCCTCCTTTCAAAAATCATCTTTTTGTTCTCTTTAGGTGTAACAGCATCCATTATCTTATTGTAATTGTTTAGAACTGCATGCCCTAAAAGATTTTTTTTTCTCATCTGTATATAAAACAGATCATCTGTTCATTTTTGAGTTTGTAATACATATCTACCTGAATGAAACGAGCCAGAAAACGTGGATATGTTTAGTACATGTACGCTTCCTGCTTTGTGAATTTGTTCTCAGCCCTTCAAAGCAGAATCATAGGGGAAGTCAGACTTCAAGGCAAACTCAGCCAAGCTGTCAGACTGATCATCCCTGTTCAATCTTTACAGCCAACACACTTACACGAGCTTCTGCTTTTGTTGCTTTTGTTACCCTAGAGGGGATGAACATTCGCTCATCCTCCGGTATTGTCAGGCACTGGGAGGAGAGCCCCCTGTGAGTCAACTTCAGAGTCCAACACAGATCTTGAAATCAGTGGAAAGAAAGGAAAGGGCAGAGCTGGAGCAGACCATTGCCAACTTGGAGGAAGAACAAAGGTGGGTACCCTTTGCCAATGGCAAATCTTCCCAGCGGAAAGGAGTTTAAAAAAAAAAGACCTTTTAATACCTTGGACTTAATTTATGAACCTGACGCCCATTTTCTATATTTGTTCACCAAACAAGAAATTAGTATTAGGCAGTGAAACTGGTTTTATAGGGAAGAGTCATACTGGGAAACTGACTGCTGTTTATGGTGCCATTTGTAGGTGAAATTATGAAGTTGAATACAGAACAAGGGGGTTTGCTCAGAACGGCACTTTTTGTTCCATGGTTCTTATTCAATTCAGATGTACGGTTGGAAGCCAGGCCATCTTGGCACGAGCTCCTTGGGACCCATAGGCATATTTAATCGAAAAGATTTGTAGAATTAAGAGGCAGGCGATAAGACAACTGATGCACACTGATACCGAATGAAATTCCTTTTCATCTTTCTCTGTGTCCGTGTTAGGATCCTACAATCAGAATATGACCGGTTGAAGGAACAACACCTTCGATCGACGCTGAGCCCCCCCAGTTCACCTCCAGATTCCAACATACCTCCTCATCACACTGCTGAAGACTCAGAGCTCATAGCAGAAGCAAAGCTGCTTAGGGAGCACAAAGGTCGCCTGGAGGCCAGAATGCAGATTTTGGAAGATCATAATAAACAGTTGGAGTCTCAGCTTCAGCGACTCCGACAGCTGCTTGAACAGGTATGGCATGCAGCCTCCCAGGCCCCAAAAGATGCAGAGCCCTTGTCTGCATAAAACAATTTGACTTTGACTTTCAAAAATGTATTTAAAAAGCTTTTGAGATCTCTTTCACTGAATGAACTCATGCATGCTGTATTCAACAGAGGAAACACTATTTCTATATTGTTTCTGAAAGAATGTTGATGAGAAGGGAGTTTGTATGGATCGTTTATTTGCTGCTGGCAAATGAGGAAATTTTGTAATTCTAGGAGGAAATATGGAAATTATTGAGGCAGGTAGGTGGTATGGTGGTTAGAGCACTGGACCTGGAGTAAGCAGGAACTGAGTTCAAATTCCACCTCGGACATTTACTAGCTGTGTGACCTGGGGCAAATCACTTTATCTCTGCCTCAGTTTCCTTATCTGTAAAATAGGGAAAGCACCTACCTTCCAGGGTTGTTGTAAGGATCAAATGAAATGATAATTGTAAAACATTTAGTACAACACCTATGCTACGTAAATGTTAGCAGCTGTTGTTATTATTATTACTATCATATGCTTAAGTGTAAAGTGGAGATAATATTAACACTGTCTCCCAGAGTTCTTGTAAAGACTGAATGGGATAATATAGGCAAAGCTCTTAGCACAGGCTCTGGAATACTTTGTTGTTGTTGAGTCATTTCAGTTGTATCCGATTCTTTGTGAGCCCATTTGTTTGTTTTTTTTTTAAATTTTGTTTTGTTTTGTTTTTGTTTTTTTGGCAAAGATACTGGTGTAGTTTACCATTTCCTTCTCCAGCTCATTTTATAGATGAGTAAATTGAGGCAAACAAGGTTAAGTGACTTGCCCAGGGTCACAGAGTCAGTAAGTGTCTGAAGCCCAGATTTGATCTGGAGATGAGTCTTACTGACTCCAGGCCTGGCACTCTATCCACTGTGCCACCTAACTGCCTGGGCAGGCATATAGTAGGTGCTCTTTGAATGCTAGCTGCAGTGATAATAATAATGGTGATGATGCAGCACAAAAAAGGCTCTCCAGTCCTAAATTGAAACCTTGACCTAAGCATGCCTCCCTAACCCCCAACCTCACATCCTATTTTACAGATAAAATGACCAAAGCCCCAGAGGTAAATTGATGTTCTCTAGGGCCAAACAGTAAGTAGTAGAACCAGGATTTCAATCCACGTTCTCTGATTGCAAATCCATCATGCTGTGAGACCTGGTTTGAGTTCTGACTGTGGCACTCATCATGTTACCTTGGGCAAATCCTCTTCAGATTCTAGTCTCTAAAATAAAACTTGCAGTACCTGTCTCACAGTTGTGAGGAAAGTGCTCTGTGAAAAGAGAGGCTATCCAAATGTGAGTAGTAACTCACATTAGAAGACTTTTGTACACTATAGTCACATGGGATACAAAAGAACCGTATGGTCCTTCCCTACCCCTCTGGTGCATATTTGGTGAACAAGACAGTATCGTGTCCACTGTTGAGACTAAGGAAGGCTGAGATGGACTGATATAAAAAAAGGCAGAAAGAAATGATTTTATGGTTGTTGCAGGTGAATTTAGCACTGTAAAAATGAGTTTCAAAAATCAGGGGTGAGGTTTAGAGCCATTTATTTTAAAATTTTTAAATGATAAGATTTATTTTTTTTAAAATTATATCCCTTTATTCTCTGAATTATGGGTGGTGTTTTGGATTCTTTTGTAGCCTGAATCAGATGCAAAGATCAATGGAGTTACCCCTTCATCGTCTTCACAGCATTCAACATTGGACCAAGATAACAGCTCTCAATTGCAATCAGCAGGTTGGTATTATCCCAGCTCCTCCAAAAGGGGGCACACCAGTTGATGAGTAGGTAACACGGATAAAGATGATTTTAACATAGTAGGCACCTATTGGAGAGTTGAGGTAAGAGAAGTTTTGTATATTCTAAAGTAAACAGAAAGCTCATACAACAATACAGAAAAGTAGGATGTTGATTAACAGGCTGTTGGTTTGCCTGTGGCATGTAGCCAGTTTCCTCTGGGTATCCATCCTGAATTTATGTCTTTATTTCAAGGACTATTCCCTTAATCTATGGGAACAAAATAAGTCACTTATTTTGTTGCTTAACTCTTTATTATTCTGAAAGAAGGGACTTTTTTGCCCTAAGCAATAGCTTGAGGAAATAAAAAATAACATGGATGTCTAAGATTGATTCTTACTACCTGTGTGTCCCTGAGCTAGTAATTTTTTGGCTAGGCAGTACGGTGGATAGAGTGCCAACCAAGAATAAGAAAAACCCGAATTCAAATCTGGCCTCAGATACTTATTAGTTATTTGACCTTGGGCAAGTCACTTAACCTCTGTTTTCCTCAGGTTCTCAACCTCCCTCCCAGGGTTGTTGTGAGGATCAAATTAGATGCTATTTGTAAAGCACCTAGCCCAGTACCTGGCACATAGTAGGTACTATATAAGTGCCAGCTATTATCATCATCATCGTTGTTGTTGTTGTTGCTGTTGTTACATTACTATTTATGGGTTCCAGATTCTTAATCTGTAAAATGAGGTGGTTGGAGAGGGGGCCCCTCCTGCTCTAGATCTGTGATGCTTTGACTTTTGGCTCTATGCTAAGTAAATATCTATTGATTTTCCTTCTAAAATATAATTTTTCCACACATTCATAGATGCATAATAAATAGTATAGGAAAAATAGAGATGCCTCCGTGACTGTGTCTCATACTCTGTGATTGATATCATCACTAGGCCTTTTCCTCCAAGCCTGCCTGCAGCCAGTTAGTTGGTGAAAGTATGGTCAAAATACTGGCCAGGTTGTAGGTCTGCTTCCTTGACAGGCCAGTTGGAATTTCCCAAAGAGTCCACCCTGAGCCATCCTAGGCCACCATGTCAGTAATGTGTGCAATTGGTCTTGGGTCAGAGTAAGGAAGGAAGTCTGGATGACCTCTTCCCAGCTTTGGAATAACCCTTTGGAATAACATAAATCATGACTACTTGTGTGTCCTCAGGCACGTCATCTTTGTATAGAAAGAGGCAGTCCCTACCTCCCAAAAGGTATCACGCTCAAAGGCTAGTATATTCAGAGCATTAAAAATAGCAGTATAATGTAGTATGAAAGACATTAACCAGTACTTAAAATCACTTACTTATTTTATTGGGGCATTTTTTTTTACATTAAAAGAAGAGCTAATGAAATAATTTTATTCTGTTATTTTGAATACTTATTTAAAAAAAATACTAAATGCCTTACAGAGTTGGATTAAGCTATATGGAAAATACAAGCTAGGGATAAAAGGAGGTAGAAAAATGTAAGAAAAGAGAAAAAGAGGTAGAATGTGTCTTCCCACATGAGAAAGTATTTCGAAGTAAGTAAAATAGTCAATTTGCAACTGCTAAATGGAATTAATAAAATTAATAATGTGCTTGTTTTTTCTCCTCCAGTTAATTTTCATTTTCTCCTGATACATAGTTCCATGTAGCAAAATTTCTACATTTGCTTAACATTCACCCCAAATTTTTTAAACCAGATTTCTCTTTGAAATCTGTAAATTCTTGTTTTATCTCCAAAGACTGCCAGTTCTCAGTAAGAAATGTCTTAACAGTAAACCCTCCCAGAGATCTAGTGTTTTCTACCCAAGTTAGTTCTAACTGGAAGGTTGACTAGAGATTGATTTCAGAATGTGTGTTATCCTTTTTCCTCCTGTATCAAATTCATTGCTCACCTGGTTGTCACAGGTGCTGATGATTTGTTGGTCCCACCTCAAAATACCAGCACAGATCTGACAGATGTCATGGAACAAATCCACAGTACCTTTCCATCATGCTCCTGTAAGTGTTGAGTATCATTGAATCTTCTGGTTTATTTTTCCTTTCTTTGTTTCTCACATCCCCCCCCACCCCCCCACCCCCCATCTTTAGTAAGATAACAAAAAGCAATATTAAAAACAAGACTGAATATTATTTGTGAATAAATCACAAACACATTATACTGATGTAAAAAGCTAGAGCTTTAACCTCAATAAGATCACACCACCAAGATGGAATGTTGATATAATCCTATACTTCCTGGGATTGTTTGGTACACTCTGCAAATAGCAAAATGAAGCCAGATAGAATTGTAGATAGGTTTTTAAGAAGAAAATTGTCTTCCTTAATGTATATTAAAGAAACCACACTTCTTTAAAGAGGAGCATTTAGTATTATGGCAAAGAAGAGAACAAGATTCTAATGGAATTTTCTTTACTATTCAGAAATTGCTGCCTTTTGGTATCCCAGGTGTAATCATCAGATGCAGCTGCAGAAAGTGGTTGTGTTTTTTAGGACCTGTCCTGTCTTTTTTTTTTAATTTTTTTGTTTCTATTCCTTTCTTTCCTGTTGCACTGAAATGGGACTATTTTGGTGTGATATTGAGTATCACAGGTTGAGATGTTAGGTATTTTGTGTCTTACCAGGAAAAAAAAATAGCAGTTGGGCAAAGAGAGTGACAAGAGGGAATCCAAGGGGAAGTTTTTCAGTGTTTCTTATTCATTTTATTTGAAAAATCTAGAAAGTCACTAATCAGTGATTAATTCAAATATTTGATGAATATGATTCCTACCCACCAGGTCTAACTGGAAGGCTGAATAGAGATTGGTTTCAAAATGTGTGTTATCCCTTTTTCTCCTATATTAAATTCACTGCTTACCTGGTTGTCACAGGTGCCGATGATTTGTTGGTCCCACCTCAAAATACCAGCACAGATCTGACAGATGTCATGGAACAAATCCACAGTACCTTTCCATCATGCTCCTGTAAGTGTTGAGTATCATTGAACATTCTGATATATTTTTCCTTTCTTTGTCTCCCACATCCTCCCCCTCTCTCCCATCTTTAGTTAGATAACAAAAAGCAATATTGAAAACAAGACCAAATATTATTTGTGAATAAGTCACAAACACATTATATTAATAGAGAAAGTTAGAGCTTTCACCTTGATCAGAACACATCACCAAGCTGGAATGATGATATAATCCTATACTTCTTGGGATTGTTTGGTACATTCCACAAGTGACAAAATGAAGCCAGATAGAATCATAGATAAATTTTTAAGAAGAAAATTGTCTTCCTTAATATATGCCATATGAAGGAAACCATACTCCTTCAAAGAGGAGCTTTGATAATATAGCAAAGAAGAGAACAAGATACTAATGAAAATTTTTTTACTATTCAGAAATTCCTGCCTTTTAGCATCCCAAGTGTAATCATCAGATGCAGTTGCAAAAAGTGGTTGTTTTTTTTTTTTAGGACCTGTACTGTCTTTTTTTTTTTCCTATTTCTATTCCTTTCTCTCCTGTTGCCCTGAAATGGGACCATTTTGGTGTGAAGGGCTGATATTGAGTATCACAAATTGAGATGTTGGGTATTTTGGGTCTTACCAGGAAAAAGACAACAGTTGGGCAAAGAGAGTAACAAGAGAGAATCCAAGGGGAAATTTTTCAGTGTTTCTTACTAATTGTGTTTGAAAAATCTAGAAAGTTACTAATCAGTGATTGATCCAAATATTTGATGAATATGATTTCTTTGAAACCAGTCTTAGTTTTTTGTCTTACTCTGGGCAAGTTACTTAATCTCTGCTTGCTTCAGTTTCCTCATCTGTAAAATGAGGGCAATAGTAGCACTTACCTTGCAAGGTTGTCATGAGGATCGATTAAGATAATGTTTGTAAATCACTTAACACACTGTCTGGCACATAGTAAGCACTACATAACTGTTGGCCATTATCGTCTCATCTGGACTAAGCCAGTATGAGAAGGTCAGAAGAGTAGTGACCTTGGAGTCAGAAGAAGACAAAGAATCTGAACTTTCTTTCTTCTTTACTTTCTTGCCCTGTACCCCATGGACATTTCCTCACCATTAAAATGGGTATAATAATATATCTTTTTAAAAGAGGCCTAAGCCTCAGTCTCCACCTCAAAATTTCCCCTAAGCACAATTCCTGAAATTCCAGCAACTAGCTAAATATGTTCACTGACCCTCCTCAAAAGCAACCTGTCAGAAACTGATCTGACAAAATCTTTACCTCTCCTAACTCCTCTGTCAGAACCACAGAATTGGAGAATTGGAAGGGCCCTCAACTGTCATCTAGTCCAACACTTGTACGAAAGACATTCCGCAAAACCTGATGAACAGTTGACCAACCACTGCTTGAGTGTTTCCAAGACAGGGGAATCTACCACCTGTCAAGGCAGCCTACTGTACTTTTGAGTCACTCTGTTTGTTGGGAAATTTTTCTGGACTCCAAACCTAAATAGGCCTTCCTTTAGCCACTTCTGCATGCTGTTCTTGGTTCTACCCTTTGGAGTCAAACAAAACAATTCTGATCTTTACTTCATGTGACAGCCCCTCAGATACTTGAAAATAGCTTTTGCGTCTCCTTTCAGTCTTCTCCATACTAAACATGCCTAGTTCTTTCAGCCGATCAATTTTCAAATAATAAGGATGTAGGTACCATCATCTCTATTGACAGCCCTTCCTGTCATCAGGCTCAGTGCCTCAGAAATCTCTGACACTTTCCTTTTTTTTTTTCTTCACCCACTAGGACGTGTTTTGTCATTTTTTTTGTACCTCAGCAACATGTGTCCCATTCATCCCTTCATTTACATTACCTTTGTCACTATTCTGATTCAGGCATTTTTACCTCTTACCTGGGCTATTCTAATAGCTTGCTAACTGGTCTCTACTTCACCCTTCTTCTCCAATTCATTTTTTTACAATGCTATCAAAACAGTCTTTTTAATATACAATATCACTCCTCTGGTCAGAGAGCTTCTGTGGCTCTTTATTGTCTCTAAGATATTTTCTCAGTATTTAAGACTCTCTGCATTCTGACTTTAGCCTAACTATCTAGCTGTATTTTACACAACTCACCTTTGAACACTCTCCATTGTAGCCATTCCCTTGCCTTTGTACATGTTGTACCCCATAGCTGCAGTTGGAGTTGCTCCCCATTTTTGTTCCCACTCTTCCTTCAAGATCCACATCCTTGATAGCAGAGACAATGTCATTTTTTTATCTTTGTATCTCTAGGACCTAGATTTGTATTCTATCTATCAATTGTCAGTTGTACCATAGACCTCATGGGGCTATTGTGAGGAAAACACTATAAACTGTGAAAGTATAGATACCTAAATTATTATATAAGACAACAATACCTTGTTTCTTCCTTTTCTGTCTAGTAAACACCATCCTAAATTAGACAAAATACATCATTAGACATGCAAAATCTGTCATTTCTTAAAAAAAGACAGGATAGAATAGCAGAAACTTAATTTTGAAAGGTAAACTCACCTGGTATCTAGTCATAAATGTCAAAGATTTCTTTTGTAGTACCACAAGTACAGGAAAAATATGGCCATCAAAAAAGATATGTGTGATCTCTTTCAAGGGAGTTAGATGTAATCCTGTGATTCAGCTTTTCATACTCTACTGAACCCTATTAAAATATTCTCTTTATCTCTAGCATACCCTTTCTTTGGCTTTGAAGAATCGTATGAAAGAAAGCATATATTTTCTAAATTAGTTTCCTAAGGGGGAAACACACACACACACACAAACACAACATAGACACAGCATTTTATTTGATTGTTCTCTAAAGGACTCAGGTTCAAGATCATCAGCCACAACCAATTTACACTGATTTTAAAGGATGTTTTATAGTCATTATATCAATTACAATAGAAAGTAAAACAAATTTGTTACACTAATACATTTAGTGCTTATGCCTTGAGAATTTGAATTATTTAATGACTGGTTGAAATTTTAGTACAACCAGTCCACTAAATGACACAATTATTTGCATAAATTCGTATCTATTAATTATGATAGATTCCATTTATGTAGTGCTTAATGTTTACAGAGTGTTTTGTATGCATGATCTCACTGAATATTTACAACAACTGTGTGAGTTAAGAAATCTGAGTGTTACTATTACCATTTTTCAGATGAAGAAACTACAGTTTCAGAGTTGGAGAGGGGATTTGCGCTAGGTCACAGAGCTAACACTCAAACATCAAAGGTTACAAACCCCAGCGGAAGGCTCCTTTTTACAGTACTAAATTAATATCTACTATGTCAAACTATATTCATAAATCAAATCCTTATAGAATATGTAAGTACCATTGTGAAAAACTTCACTTCTAGTAAGTTGGCAGTATGTATTTAATGGGAAGTCCGAGAGTATCTAGCTTTTATGTGAATAAAAATACATAATTAAGATTTCCATCATCATGGTAAATCAGCCTCATTCTCTGGAAGTTCATCTATAGAAAATAATAGCTAAACAATATACTTTGATTTTTGAGTATTTTAGCATTATTGACTTGTAACCTTATAAAGATTTTAATAAAGAGAGATTTTAATTAAAATCCAAAATGGAATATAACCATATAATTATTAACCTGGAAAAGATCCTGAAGGTCAAATCTTTCCATTGCTTGTGGAATGGAGTCTTGATGGTACCATAGCCCATATTCTCAGATTAAAAAAAAAAAAGCAATTACCAGGAGCCCTACATTGTTCAGGTTACACCTAGACTTGACTCAGTATCCTATTGACCTGTAGCAGATCTTCAGAATACCTGGAATGTATTCATGGATTTCAGCTTCTGGGACTCCTCAGTATGAGGTGAGGCTCACTCCTTTATACTGGCAATATGTGGAGGCCTTACAGCTGCAAAATTGCAACCCTTCAGGATTATTCCAGTACTCTCTGTGGTTGAAGTTAATCACAGACATTTACTGGTGTAAAGAGCTGAAATACATTCTTTAAGATATGAGCTGCACATTCTGCAAATGTTGAAAAGTGGACAATATTAAATGTAAACTGAACTTCTTTTGGAGTTTATTTTTACTCTCTTGGTATACACTTTCCTTATGTTACGTTAACTAATTGACCCTTGGGAAGAAGTTTTAAAAGTAGACTTTTAAAAAGTAGTTTTAAAAAGTAGACTTGGTTCAGGTTTTTTTACACTTATTTGGAAAATGGAAAAAAAATTCATAAGTAGTAAAAATAAAATTCCCCTTCGAAGAAATTAAATCAAACTCTAAAAATGTTCATTGATTGAGTTTTCTGATAGTACATTCTTAATCAAAAAAGCACAGAGGAGACCTAAAAAGCTAAAATAGACAATTTTAATTACCTGAAAATTAGTTTTGCACAAAATTTTGCAGCTAATATATAAAAAGGGAAACCATCAATTGTGAAAAAAATCTTTGTATCAAATATCTATGCTAAGATTCTGATAAGCAAGATATGTAGGGAATTAATACAAATATATAATGCCCTATAGATGAGTGGTAAAAAGGATATGAACCAGCAGCTCTAAAAAGCATTGTAAACTATTAAGAACCTTGAGGACGTTTGTGGGCTGCTGGGAAGGAACCAGTAAATAAGATTATATAAGAAAAGAGAGAGAGAGACAGACAGAGAGAGAGAGAGAGAGAGAGAGAGAGAGAGAGAGAGAGAGAGAGAGAGAGAGAGAGAAAGAGAGAGAACACAAGAACACACATGGAAAATGCAACAAACACATTGCAGTTCTCTCAAATATACAAACCTCCCAGTTCCTCCATCTATTCATCTCCATGACTTAACTCCTCCACTCTACCTCATCTCCACATCAAGGTAGTCACAGCATTGATCTTGCCATCATGGACAAGTCTTCCGTTTCAAAGTTGAAGAACTCTGAAATCCCTTGATCTGATCACAATCCCTGAAAATGTCTTCTTTTCTTCTGCTCTATTCCTACTAAACCTAATCTTCATCCTCACCATGGTTTCCAGATCCTCTACTCCTCAGTGTTTTCCCAGGCCTCCCCTACTCTGGCTACACTCTCCTCCTTCTCCAATCTTGAACTTTCAGTTAACCAGTTCAACTCTACACTATCTATTATTATTGAATACTTTGTTCCCTCATTCTCTTGCTACTCAGACCTGGTCAATCCCCATTCTTGGATTATTCCCATCATCCTTATACATCCTATATACATGCTGGAGAAAGTCATGTAACTGTACCAACTGGATCCACTACAAATTTATGTTTCCTAATCTCAACTAGGACTTCACTGCAGCAGGACAATTACTTTATTCCTTCCCAATTGATTTTTCTATTCCTTTCCCCACTGCAGTTTTTCCAAACCTCTTCTGTAGCCTTTCACAGTACTCCCTCTTCCTGTGCTTCACTAAGAAGATAAAGACCATTCACTATAAGCTCTCTCTTTTCCCCTGCTCCCATTCTTACACTCCCTTGACATTATTCCCAACTGTCTTCTCTTTTATTCTGTTGACCAAGTGGCCCTTTTTGATAGAGCCAACCCTCTTTTGTGAATCCTTGATCCCAACTTCTCCTATATTTTCTAGCAGATTGTCCCCACTCCCATCCTCTCTATATATCTAATCTCCAGTCTCTCCCTATTGACTATTTCCTTCCCAGCTAACTAGAAAGACACCCAAATCTTGTCAATCCTTTACTAGATCCTCACTAAATACTATCACCACCATCATCCTATCTCACTCTTCTCTTCTCAGAAAGGGCAGTCTGCACTCATTTTTTTTTTTCTACTTCTTCATCCTTGACTGTCCTAAATCCTCTACAATCGAGTTTCTTCATTATTAATTTGCCATTAAACTAAAAGTGCTCTCTCCAGACTTAGCAACTATGTCTTAGTTGCTAAATCTAATGTTTTTTTCCTCAATCCTCACCCTTCTTTATCCCTTTTTAGCATTTTTGATACTGTTAATCACCTTATCCTCCTGGACACTACCTCCTCTCAGGGTTATCATGACCCTGCTCTCTGTCTTGGTTCTCCTCCTACCTGTGTGATGACTGCTTCAAAATCTCTTTTACTGGCTCATCATCCATGTCAACTCCCCAACTATGGGTATAGCCCAAGGTTCTGTCTTGATTCCACTCCTGTATTCTCTGTTAGATTCCCTTAGTGATTTTACTGGCCATTCCAGCCTTATTCCACTTCACTCCCCTCCACACACCCTGTAATCCAGCCATGCCTGCCTTCTTGCTGTTCCACACACACAAAACTCCATCTTCTGTCTGCATGTCTTTGTCCTGGCTCTCTTCCTTATCTCACTCTTGAAATCTCTAGTTTTCTTCAAGTCTCAACTCAAGCACCATCTTCTACATGAGGCCTTTCCTGTTGCTTTCAGGTACTAGCGTCCCCCTCTTCTGCCTTGACCCCTCCCACTTTGTACTTATTTGGCATATGTGTGATTGATTGCCCTATCATGATATAAGCTCCTTTAATCAGAAACTGTTTTGCTTTTGTCTTTGTATCTTTAGCCCCTAACACAGTACCTGACTCATAGTAGGTGCTTAATAAATGCTTGCTGGTTTCATATGTTTAAAGATGCTTCTGTGACAGTGCTCATGTCATTGTCATCAATAATAAATATTTATTGCTTATCCAGTCTGAATAAAGCAAAGGTTTGTTTTCTAATGCCACTTAAAGGAATTACATATTTCTTGAATAAGCATTTTACAAAGCCATAATGACCTCTTTGGAAGATTTTTCCAAACAAGCAAAACTGACACTCTTCTGAAATAAGACCAGGCCCTACAGCAACTATAACTAACAAGAGCTTGAAAATGGTATATGACTAGGATAGCTTGAATTCATCTTCATACTAATCTTGAATGTTCATCCCTTTTGTAAATTAAAAGTTAAAACTTACATATGTCAGTTACTACTCTGAAATGAGTTGGAAATCTTTATTTTAAAACTGTTTTCTGCTTTTATAAGCTCTGATTACATGAATGACTACTTTGACACAAAGTGTTTTTGAACAGGAAGCATCTACATCTGGGTACATTTACGTGTCACTTGAGCATTGTTATCCTTTGAAAAGCTAACTCCACAAGTCCTGAATTTATCTTGTATCTATTGCCTTCATTGGACTCCTTTTTTTGGTCTTTACCATTGAATTTTGGAATGGGAGAGATGACAACTATGATTTCTTCTTCTTAGACACTGGTTTATTCACCTGTGAATTTGTTTAACTTGTTTTAATGAATGAATTTTTTGGGTTAAAAATCAGTTCTTGTTTTCTTCTCCCCTACCATTGTAATGATGTAGATACTGGGCATTGAATGAAGCATGCCAAGTATTTTTCTGGCAGACTGACAAAAAAATGCCTCTTTATTATTGTGCCCTGCTGACTTGTTCTGACTGTGGCTGGATATATTTATATGTTTGTGACAGTCATACAAAACTAAAACCCTAGAAAATTCATTAATTTCCTTCCTTTTTAAAAACATATTTCTATAAGCTACATACAGGCAAAGCAACCAATATACCCTACTGATTGAGAAATGATGATATGGGGCAAAATGGATAATAGATTTGGTTAATTAACATGTTTCTTTGTCACTTGTAACAAAAACATAACTATATCCCCCAAGAAACTGTGTATGTGACAATCCATTTTTGTGCTTCAGCAAATATGCTACTCCCTAAGGCTGTACCTTAGACCTGAGAGCTGGTCTCAGTCAGTAAAACCTGGCTTTAAGTCTTGCCTCAGACATATTCTGATCATGTGATGTCAATATATAACATCACACTATATGTGATTTGGGCAAATCATTTAATCTCTCAGTGCCCCCAGGTAACTCTCTTAAGACTTTAAGGAGCAAAGTGCTCATTTGAATTAGTAGAGGAATCCAAAGTTAAAGTCAGTCACAGGTCTAGTCTATTCTCCTCCATCAAAAACCTTCATACCCTGCCCCTAAGGTGTAGTTGAGGCTTGTTTGAAAGTTTATTTATTTGCAGGGCGTGGGGTGTGTGTGGAGAGAGACCACCAGAAACTAGGGTGATGGTCATTTTATTGATACAGTAACACTTAAATTAACTTTCTGGACCTGGTAGAATTAGACTTATTTTAGCCTAAGAAGAGGATGAATTAAAATGTAGAGAAATTTTGAAACATGTAAACTGCCTCAATCTTCTCAGTAAAAGTAGAAAGAAAACTGATCTGTTGGTAAGTGGGAAAGGGTGGAATAGTGCTGTAGTTGGGGGCTCAGAAAGAGAAGAAAAGGAAGGCTATGCTGCCTACCGTATGAACAAATGGTAAGTTAGAAATTTGTTGTTGGAAAGAGATGTCGAAAATAGAAGACTCTCTCTTCCAAAATAGTATGCTCTGAATTTGCCCATTAAGCACATTATTTGAAGTCAGCTCTATTTTGATGTGCAAGCTATTTAACATGGCAGAAAGTGTTGTAACTAAGAGTTTAGTGTTTTGGGTTTTTTTTGCAAAGCTTAGTACTCATTGGATGTTTTGTTATTTTTCTTATTTGAAAAGACTAGCATATGTTTTGCATAGTTTGATGGGAAATTTGCCTCTTAAAGCATATGGGAAAAGTAACTTGAAAAAAACTTTGGATTCATTAAATCATTTACACAAACAAAAAAAAAAATCCCTATTTCTTATTATCACCAGCCTAACAGTTGGGCCATTATCTTACACACAGTGGTAAATGCTGTACATCTGCATGTCTCAAATCATGTTGTCAGCAAACCAGATGCATATTAGACAGCCCTGATGATTCAGTATTTATTGACATTTCTCTAATTGATTTCTTTTGTCTTCATTTTCAGCAAACCTCTCTGGCAGCACCCAGGTAAGAAATGAGCTTCTTGAATTGATTGTTTTAGTTTTACTGAGAGAAGAGGTAGATTGGCTCCATTTACTTTTTCAGGGGTACTTTTCATTGTGTCCTATGCCATGCTGCTCACATAAATGAGGAAATCTGTTTGACATTTAAATGCTGCTCTACTCATTATGGTAGTTTGTCAAAGATGGGGAAAAAGCCATCAAGTCAGTGCCTCAAGATGCCTTTTCTTTATGAAGAAACCCAAAAGTAGCATGTGTTCAGTGCTCTGTGTTGTGTTAGAGAACTCACTTATGGTATTATGTGCATGGGGTATGATCTCCCAGAACAAAAATGCAGGACTATTGTTCTTCTAAGCCCTCTTCTGGAGAAGATATCAATCCAATACAGCTGTCACAGTAGCTGACCTTAAAAAAAAATTAATCGAATGCCACAAAAGTGCTTTTGTTCCTTGGGAAAACCAGTTTTAATTTTAAATCTTGCTTGGATATAACCCTTCACTCGTTTCGCCTTATGACTTTTCAGTATGTTCCATAAAATGGTAATATAATAACTGCACTACCTATAACAGATCATGGTTACAATTTTTTTTTAATGTTACAATTTTTAATAGAAAAGTGCCACACAAAAGTATGGCTCTTAGAAAAGTATTTTACTACATGAACCTGTCTATTGCTCTCATTAAAGGAGTAAAAAAAAAAATGAGTTGCCTTCTGTGCTAATATTATTTGAACCCTTGAAAACTTCAGATCTAGTGTCAGGAAGTTAGTTAGAATGACAAGGGGAACTTTAGAGATCATTGTGTTCAACTCTGCTCACTTTATATTTGGACACAAGGCCCAGAGAGCATGGCAGATCCCTAAACTTATCTGTCTAATTGCTGGCAAAACTGAGAACCAAACCCCAGTTTCCTGACTCCTGATTGTGTTCTTTTCATTATATATTGCTGCCTCTGGCTCTCTCTTGTCAATCAGTCAATCAATACACTTTTATTAAGAGGTGATTGGACCCTATACTAAAACAGTGGGGATTTGAAAAGAGGCTAAAGATAGTCCCTGCCCCTAAGGAGCTTGCAGGCTAATGAAGGAGACAATGCAAAAAATGTATAAAATGCAAGCTATATATAGGATAAATAGGAAACAAATAACAAAACAAATAAACTCATCAGGTATTTCCCTCGGTGAAAACTCAAGAAGTCAGTATTTTATCACATAATTGGCCTTTTCCTAACATTTCAGTTTCACAAATTCTTGTAATTATAAATTATTAAGGTTTTTAGGCCTTTACAGATATAGCTAACTCCCAAAATCTATAGTTATTAAGAATAACAATTGGCATAGACTATTGCCCTTGTAATAATGACTTATAAACATAAGTACTTTAAGGTTTATAACATACTTTATTATTATTAACAAACAACAGTAATAGTAGCTATCACTTGTATAGTACTTTAAGGTGTTCAAAGCACTTTACCTATCTTCACAAAAGGTGAATTAGGTATTATCATTATCCCATTTCACAGATAGAAAACTGTGTCTTGTACATAGTCATGTACCTAGCCAGCGTCAGAGCCCAGATTTGAACTCAGATCTTCCCAACCTCAAGTTCAGCACTCTTTCAGCTCTGCCACCTGGATGCCTTGTTTTTATATATGTGCTCATTTTATCCTTATCATATCATTGTAAGTGCAAGTATTTTTGTTCCTATTAATGAATGAGGAAACTGAGTCTCTTGCCCCTGGCAACACAGTTAATAAGTCTCAGGGAGATTCATAGCCAAACCTCACCTGATTCCAAGTCTAACATTCTTTCCATTATATGTCATTGCCCCCATGTCTGCAAAAATAATTCAGAAATTCTTTTAACCCCACACTATTGCCAGCACTGATAACAAGTAGCAAAATTTGAAACTGATTGTTTCTCTGAGCAGTAAAATATGAGGAAAAAATGAGGGGCTGATGAGGAAATGTTCTTCATAATCCAGATCTAGGTAATCACTTTCTGAGTAAATGGTCTATAATGCACATAAAACTATAAAATATAAATAGGACAAAATGTCTCTCTTGACTTGTGCCCAGTTGGGGGGAGTATGGACTTGCAAAATTCCTTCTCTGATTTTATGTGTGGTGCAGAGTAGCTAACTGTCCATGAATAGACATGGGACCCTATATGGAGCATGTGTGTGGAACGTGGAAAGGCAAGTTGGAGAGGAAGGAAATGCTCTACCTTGTGTGATTAACAGAACCAGTACAGGGGTAGGGAACTTATGGCCTGGAGGCCACATGTGGCCTTCTAGGTTATCGGGTACAGCCTTTTGACTGAGTCCCAAGTGTTAAAGAACAAATTCTTTTATTAAGGGGATTTGTTCTGTGAAGTTTGGATTCAGTCAAAGGGCCACACTTGAGGACCTAGAGGGCTACGTGTGGCCTCAAGGACGCAGGTTCCCTATCATTGTGCTAGACAATGCATAGAGAGCAACATGGCTCCAGGAGAAAGACCAGGGTTCTGCAGAGAGCTGCTTTCTGCCATGTCCTGGAAGGGTCCTCATGATTTCGGAAATCACCAAATCACAGGCTTTTTTTTGTTGTTGTTGTTGTTAAACCACTACTACTGTATGCTCTGGAAAAAAACTGATGCTCCACCCCTTATTCTTATTCTGACTTGTCATCTCTCCTAAACTTTCAAAATGACACTAGTCCTTCATCTCTTCAACTTTAATCACTTGTTAATTTAGTCCCAGGTCTCTTGTCATCTCTCGACCCTCATCACTCCCCACCTCGTGCTTTACTCACAGAGATTAGGATTAGTTAGGATTACTGTATCATGTTCCATATTTTCCAGAAATAACTTTCACCATCCCACACTGGAAACTGAAGATGGTTGTTCTTACTCTTCATCAGGCCAATTCAGTATGGGCCATTAGGGTTTCCAGCAGGAAGGAACAGAATCTTCTGGGGATGTGGCCTAGTGTTCTCGAGTGCTGGGGTTGGAGACCTCAAAATTGGAATTCAAATCCTGCCTCAGACATGGACTAGCTGTGGGATGCTGATAAGTCACTAATCCCTCACAACCTCTATTTGTTTATCTATAAAATGAGGATAATCATAGCACTTACCTTACAAGATTGTTTTTGTGAGGATCAAATGAGATATAATATACATGAAGTGCTTTGTAAACCTTAAAGTGCACTATAAATGCTACCTATTACTGTTGTCAGTTCTTATGATCTTGTTTTAATCCTAGGGCAATTGTATTCATAGAAAAAATAATTTCCCCTCCCTCAAAGGAAAGAATAGTTCCAAATGTTACAGTGACCAGAAGATGACTAGGTGACGACAAGGTGACAAGGCTGGTGGAAAGGAAGCTGGACATGGAGGAAACAAAAGTCAGGCAGGACTAAAGGATCTGTTTTGGTTATAGGAAAATAACTCTTGACCTACTTAAAAGAGAAATGGGTCACACATTTTTTTTTTCCTTTGAAGAATTGACAGATCTGAGATATCTGTAATGTTTTTGTTTGGAAATACTATCTTGACATTGCTGTTTTTCATCCCCACAGGGAATCTAAAGCATTCGTCTGGCTGGCCAACACTTCATAATACATAGTAAATTCTCAACATACAGTAAATTTTTAGTAAGTTCCAATTCCAAATCCCCTTGAATAAGACTCTGCATGACACCTTTGATACCTTGAAGACCACATTATTTCGCTCTATGTCTTCTACTAAAGGAGTAAAATACGGAAGATCCAAAGATGGGAATGTCATGTTTTTAATAAAAAAAAAGCTTTTGTTTTCTCCTTCCATTTCTATGCAACTGTAAATTAATGGAGGTATTTGGAAATGGTTATACATTTGTTCTTGATTTGTATAAATATACAGCATTGGGAAAGTGGGTGGGGGCTTTATATATTGTACCTTCTTTTTTGATAACCAGGAAGAGAACTGCATAAAGTAATTAGAAGCAAAATGTTACATTTATACATTCCTTTCTGCTCCTCACATTTACTTTTGACAGTGACTTCATTTATCTACTGACATTTTGGCCATGCTGTTGAGGTTATTGACACACATCAACCTTTTGACCAAGTAGGTGTCTGAAGAGCCTGGAACTGTTTTCCATGACTGGCCACATTAACAGGGTCAGTTAATTTACTCAGATGTTATTTATTAAGAATTAGGATCTCACCACAGCTATGTGCAAACTGTTTAGCTTCACTAACAATGGCACACTCACCTCCAAAACTTTCACTACATGGAACAACATTTCTTTTGGAATATCTTTTTTTTTTCCTTCATTTGATTTCCCAGCCATATGAGAAAGTGTTTGTTCTTGGAGATTAATGTCAAATTCTACTCTAGAGAAAAATAAGATTTAATGGTATAAGTGCAATCTTAATGGAAGTTTTCCTAAGGAACATTTTTTTTTACCCAGAAACAAAGTTTTGAACATCCTTTCCAACTTTCCAAGGTCTAGATTTTCAGCCATGAAGTACAAACCAGTCCCACACCTAATTGTAATATTAAAGCAAAAGAATGTCCTCTATTCCCTCTGATGGTGTTTTTTTACCAAAAAAAAAGAAAAGAAAGAAAAAGAAAAGGAAAGAAAAGAAAAAATAAGCCCTTTCCAGTACTTGATTTTTTTTTCTGAATGCAATGTTCAACCATAGAGTTTGAGTCTGTGCATACATAGATCACATGACTTCTTTAGAAGTACTTTTTAAAGGCTAATTAATGGAAGACCTTTTGATTTCCCTTCATTGATTATCACATTTGGGGAAGAGCATTTTTTAGAAGATCACATGAAAATTAAATTAACACTTGGAGGTTGGGTTCTGCCCCACTGAGTACATTTAGGCTTTGGGTTCAGTATCAAGTTAATATCTGATTCAATAAACATATTATGTGATTACCAAACACAAAGAAAGCAAAAGCCTGTCCAAGAGTATGCTCATAGATGCACAAGAAAGCCCCCAAATGGACTGAGACTCTTATCCCCCAAAACTAGAGTACTTGGATTGTAGAATGTGTGCTTATGAATCATCAGGACATGTTAACCTTTGCTTCTCTTCACTTGGGATGTGACCAAGAGGAGATTCAAAGTTAGCAAAATTTGTTCTTTTCAAAGGGGTTGGGTGGGGGGGGTTGGGTTGGGGTCTATTTGCAGCATAGATATTTTGAAAAGAAAAATTGTTTTATATAAGAGGAAAGCCATGACCGCCTTTCTACCTCAAACCCATCTTCATTCATAGTATTGGAAATAGCTTTATGCTACTGTATTCTGCAAAGTCTATAGCTTTTACCAGACCATACTATAGCCAAGGAAAAGAAAAGCACCCCTTTTTAATTAAGGAAAAAGAAATATCCCTGAACACTGAAGTTCACAGTTGTAGATTTGGTGTCTTTCTTGTTATTACTTTGAGAGGTTATGTATTAAATTGTTTTTTCTGCCTGTATTTGTATGCAAAGTATGTCCTCTACTCTGCTACTGAGTAAAAGCTATTTAAAACACTACATTGTAACATTCTTCCTCCGAGTAATAATAAATAAAAAAGGAATATATTGCAGCAATTATTAGAAAAAGTTACATAGTTCTTTTGAGGTATATGGGAAAGAATGGATTACACACCACCATCTAATCTGGTTACATGCTCTATATTTCATCTAAAATAAAAGTAATTTTTAACACAAGATTGCTCTGATATTACTCAGATAAGAAATAAATTACATTTAAAAGGCTATTGTTCAGTGGTAGAGCTAGAGGCTTGAAAATACATTTATGAAAATAAAAATATATAGAGATAATGTTTCTCAATAAATCTACATATTTTCTGTGATTTCTATTCCTCTCTCCCTTCTCTCTCTCTCTCTCACATATAAGACACATATATTTGTGCTTTTACTCACATACCAATTTGCAATTACTTTGCAAATTTAAATTAAATAACCAATTTGGGGGAGGGGGTGGAATTACAGTGATGTTGATATTGCTGAGAGTATACAGATTCTTTTGGCTAGTGAATAATTTATAGAGATGTCAACATATTAATATGATTGCCATTTCAACTTTGTTTCTTGACATTGTGTTTGTAGAATGCATATTTTTATATGATCAAACTCATGTGCATTACATAGGATAAATATTAAGAATTGGTCACATACCTTTTAATAGAACTTTTCCAAAAGGGAAATAATGTTCCTTGGGTCTACCCGGGATGAGGGTTTTTCTGCCTGACAGATTTTAAAAGATATTCAAAGAATAGACCAATAAAATAAAGAAAAACATAAAGATAAATTCAAATTAATCAGCATTTTAGAGTCACTTTACTACAAAGCAGACTGAGAGAGGAAAAATAACTGGTTTTTAGTAGCTGGTTGGGTTAGTATTTGAATGTGAAAAGAAATGAGAACATACTACAATGAACCTTAAAACTATTTCTTTGTCGTACCTTGATAATATGTATTTTTAAAAATAGTTTTCTAAAATTACCCCTCAGCTAAGTTTCGTAGCTCATTATGGTGTAAATGCCAACATCCTGGTTCTCCCGTTGCTTTTTGAAATTTACTGCGGATAAACTCCCAGCTGGAAGAATCCTTACCTATAGATCAAAGGGCTAGTTAAGTCCCCAGGTGAGCCTCTTAGAGCTAACTGCCTAATGAATAATGAGCACTCTAAGGGATTGTAAAGTCTAGAAGGCTCTGGGGCTCCTCGGGAGAATCTGGAGTAGCTGAATTTGGGCAGCTTCCCCCCCTCCCCCATTTGGTGAACAAAGAGCTGGACGCTGCTGTTGGAAGGTTGAATGAAAAATGAAAGGAAGAGCTACGATTACAATCTACTTAAGAGAGGAGTCCTCCACTCAGACTTGAACTTCATACTTGGCTGTGGAATTAAAGAGCAAACAATTGGAAAAGATCTTGACCAGGTTGCCTCAGGCTACCAAAGTAAGTCTTTCACTTTAGAAAGAAAATGAACATTGATTATTTGCATAATCCTTGCACATGACCTTCATTTTTAATACCTCAAGAATTCCATTTGTCACTTTTAATAAAATATACAGGAATCTCAATTATATAATGCTTTTAAGATTCGTGCACTATTTCCCTCAAACCTCTTAAGGTGACTGGTATATACTAATGTTATCCCCATTTTACAGATAAAAAAATTGAGACTTGGAGAGGTTCAATGTTCGTGGACACAGAGCTAATTGTCTTAGAAGGTTCAGTGTCAGTCTCCCACAAGGAAACAGAGCTCAGAAAAAATGATGGAAAAAGGTCCACTGAGACCACAGGTGAATTTTGCCCCCAACTGAGGGTGAGGTCCTGAACCCCACCAGTAAAATCCAGTGGGTTTTAATTGGGTTCTTATCTGTGTCTAGCAGTAACAAGCATTGAGGATAGGGAGAGAGAAGTGTGAACCTGAGAACTGGTGCTGATGCATGGTAGTGGGCTAGAGGGAAGGTAAAGGAATGGGCTTTTATTAAGCACCTACTACTAACTAGACATTTGGGCAGCTAGGTGTTGAACTGGATAGTGTACCAGGAATGGAGTCAGGAAGACATTTCCCTAAGTTCGAATCTAGCCTCAAACACTCTGGCAAGTGTTTAACCCTTTTGCCTCAGTTTCCTCATCTGTAAAATGAGCTGGAAAAGGAAATGACAAACCATTCCAGTATCTTTGCTAAGAAAACCCCAAATGGGGTCATGAAGAGTAAGACATCATTGAACAACAAAAATTAGCTAAGCATTGTGCTTTACAAATATTTAATTTGATTTTTTTTTTTTTGGTGAGGCAATGGGGTTAAGTGATTTGCCTGGGTCACACAGCTACTAAGTTTCAAGTGTCTGAGGTCGGATTTAAACTTGGTTCCTCCTGACTCCAAAGCTAGAGCTCTATCCACTGCGCCAGCTAGCTGCCCCCTCATTTGATCTTCAAAATAGCTCTGGAAGTAAGTGCCATTGTTGTCCCCATTTTACAGTTGAGGAAACTGAGGCAGAGTTTTAGTGACATGACCACTGTCACAGGAAGTGTCTGAGACTGTGTTTGAACTTAGGCCTTTCTGACTATAGACCCATCTGTCTGTCCATGGAGGCTAGTTTATATTCAAGCTTCCTGACAGCAGGAAAAGGGGTTTGGGACTCTTGCTGCTGATTTTACTCTGACTAGGTGACATCTCTGTGATCTTTGAGTATCCCTGTGGTTTTCTTTGTTTAGCAGTTCAAGAAGGCTACTGTATTTCTTACATTAGGCAGTATCAGAGCTGATGTTCAAACCCAAATGTCTCTCACCTCCAGGTCCACTGCTCTTTCCACTTATACCAGTGGATGAGATGGGTGCAGGTCCCATTCAGTTTTCACAAATTATGGTGCCTCAATTTGGCAGCATTTTCTGACCAAACAAGTAGATAATTACAAGAAAATAAATAGAAATTATTAAATGATAAATGTTGAATCCCCAGGGCAACCCACAGACTGTAATTTTCAATAGCACTCATTTTTCAGTGCTGCATTTTAAAAGACTTTGAAGTATTGGGATTCGTTAAAGGGACAAAGAATAATCACCAGTTCCATATTTTTTAGCATTCCCTGCCCCTTTGTTAATTAGGAAAAATAAATAAACTTTTAATACTTGTGTGTAGCATAAGTCATGGACTGCCACACATGGTGCTCACATGTTGACATAAGCGAACTAGGAGAGCAAGGAATGGTTTACCTGTCAGATCTATGAAGAAGGGAAGAATTTAGGGTCAAACAAGAGATAGAGAACACTATGAAATGCAAAATGGATGATTTTGATTACATAAAATTGAAAAGTTTTTGCACAAAGCCAATGCAATCGAGATTAGAAGGGAAGCAGAAAGCTGGAAAACAATTTTTAAAGCCAGGGTCTCTGATAAAAGCCTCATTTCTAAAATATGTAGAGAACTCAGTTGAATTCATAAGAATACAAGTCATTCCCCATTTGATAAATGGTCAAAGAATGTGAACAGGCGGTTTTCAGAAGAAGAAATTAAAGTTATCTATAGTTATATGAAAAAATGCTCTAAATCACTATGGATTAGAAAAATGCAAATCAAAGTGACTCTGAGGTATTGCATCACACCTATCAGATTGACTAACATGACAAAACAGGAAAATGATAAATGTTGGAGAAAATGTGGGAAAACTGGAACACTAATGCATTATTGGTAGAGCTGTGAACTGATCCAACCATTCTGGAGAGCAATTTTGAACTATGCCCCCCAATACCACTTCGAGGTCTGTATCCCAAAGAGATAAAAAATAAAGGGGGAAAGGACCTATTTGTACAAAAATATTTATAGCAGTTCTTTTTGTGGTGGCCAATAATTGGAAATTGAGGGGATGCCCAGCAATTGGGCAATGTCTGAACAAATTGTGGTATAGGAATGCAATGGAATACTATTGTATAAGAAATGATGATCAGGCACATTTCAGAAAAACCTGGAAAGACTTGTATGGTCTGATGCTGAGTGAAGTGAAAAGAACCAAGAGAGCATTGTACACAGTAACAGCCACATTTTGCAGCGACTGACTTTGACAGACTTGGCTCTTCTTAGCAATGCAAATATTTAAGACAACTCCAAAAGACTCACGTTGGAAAATGCTATCCACATCCAGAGAAGGAACTTTGGAGCCTGAGTGCAGATGGAAGCATGCTATTTGCTCTCGTTTTGTTTTGTTTCTTCTTTCTAGTGGTTCCTCCCATTCTAATTCTTCTTTACATCATGACTAATGTGAAAATATATTTAATATAAATGTATAACTAGAGCCTATATCAGATTGCATAACATCTTAGGGAGGGGGAGAAAATTTAAAACTCAAAGTCTTATGGAAGTGAATGTTGAAAACTAAAAATAAATTAATTATGTAAAAATAAATGAGACCTCAAGAAACAAAACCTGAGAACTGGAATAGGACAGTCTAGTCACATGGCACTTCCTGGCTTCTGTTCCCTACACATCAACAGTTGAAAACCATATTGCTAACTCCCTGAGGGCAGGGGCTTCCTTTTGTCTCTTTTTGTATCCCCAACAATTTGCACTGTGCCTGGCACATAGTAGGTACTTAATAAATATTTATTAAATCAATGATTGACTGAATAGCTTTGGAGTTTGGAGGAGTTGGGCTCAGGTCAGTAACCATGCAGGAGTGTGCTGGTGCCTGCTCCAATAGACTTGCAAGAGCTGAATGTGAAATTTTCATTGTGAGCATTTATATCTTGGAAGTTGGCAAACCCTACTAGTCAGGTCTTTATTTATTGATGAATTGATTGTCTAGACTTAAGAACGTGATGGAGAAAATGTAAATAATGAAGATTAAACTGAAGTGTCTCCCCCTCCTGCCCCCCCAAACCCAGTTGTTGTTCATTCATTTTTCAGTTGTGTCCTATTCTTCATGACCCCATTTGGAGTTTTCTTGGCAAAGATACTAGAGCGGTTTGCTATTTCCTTCTCCATCTTCTCCATCTCCTCATCTATAAAATGAGGAAACTGAGGCAAACAGGGTTAAGTGACTTGCCCAGGATCACACAACTACTAAGTGTCTGAGGCTAGA